TCCATGAGGAGCGGAATGTGGAATACGTACAGGACAATATGATTGCTGATTGCTGAGAGACGAGGGCTCGATTGGTCTTTTGTCATGTTAGAACCTTCTATCATATTCAACGTCTTCTCGGCGTCGAAGGAATCGAGTATCGTAGGAATAGTTGACCTTACGTTACAGCAACGTCGGAGAAACGCAGCATATATGTCCACGACTAATCGCATCAAGTGGCTTTTCCATGTCTCGAGCGGAATGCAGTGGGTCAAGTCTTTAGAGCGCAGAATGAAATAAATAAGGAAGCATTTCCTTCTAGAAACCTGATGTTAACTGACTGATAAACGCGACACTTACTAGGAAATACGACTCGAATCGCTCGGCAAGGTTAAAATGGGCAGCATGCGACTACTGTACATCAATTTTATGACAGGTAGCGAGTGCAAGCACTCAGGCCCGCATGGGATCTGTAGAATGTTTCACGAAGAAAATGAGAAGCTTACTATCCTCCGAGTCCGTCGCGGAAGAAGAGCTTGCAAAACAAAATCACAGAGAAGCGCAGCTGTTTACGATAGGACAGGTACCAGTAGGGCATATGGATGAACGACTTAGCTAGAGCCAGGAGCTCAAGTACCTTGATCAAAGCATGCAGCTGTCGCGGAAGATTACATTGGCTCACTTGCCTGGATTCTGTTGACCCTGTCTTTCTTCAGTTGACAGTCATCGCTGAGCGGGGATCTTCGCCGACTAACCTATCAGAATCGTCCGTGTAGGCTGGCCATCCAGCTTACTAGAGTTCAATGAACCATCACCGAGCGATTGGGAACATCCGTTTAAATTTCAGTCGGTTTTCGAACTTTCCAAAGTGTAAATAACCACCTTCAGTTTCAAACAATTCAACGCTTGAGAATGAAAATAAAGATTTCGCACCGAAACCTACCAGGGGATGTTGGTCGACAAATGTCTGTGAAACCTGGGAACGTTGGGGTCTGCACTCCTCCGCGACCACGTGAGTTTTAGGGCTGGACAACCCGTGTATTCCTAGCATGACCCGCGACTATTACAAGCGATCCGCTACCCTCGCTCTTTAACCTAGCAACGCGGGTTCATCATACCGTTTCATTTACTGATCAAGGCTTGTATAGCGTTACGTGTCGTATTGCTCACATTGACAGTGGGGCTCTGCTGTAAGATAGATCTAGCCAACGATACGACGGTGGAGAGCGTCGTGCCTCTCCGGAGTTGTGAGCCCGTAACAGAATTGAAAGACATCATCGACGATGACGCTATCCGATGCCATAAAGCGCAACCCGCCATCATCCGATGACAGGGCCGTATAGTAACTGGGATTATGTTCAGCTATCGTGAGGTCAGTCAGCGAGAGATTAGGAGATAGAAGGGAAATACTTTTCATGTGGTATTATATCATGCCGTGCTCGATGAAACACATTCTTTGCGCCTGACTGAATGGCACCTTTGAGCGGAAGTAAGATCAGTACGTTGAATTTAGTACGAGAGGAATCTGAATTACATCGCGTATGCATGCTCTAGTTAGCAAGTTTGATAGAGCAGGGTGAGTAGGCCACAATACCCCATGGTGCCCCATCAGTGCCCTTCTTCGGCGTCGAGTCGGAGATGCCGAGATCTTCTGCAACCCAGGAATGAGATTCACGATCTATTATCCTAGGATCAACGGATATAAAGGACAGATGCACAAAAAGGTGGTTGCATACGAGCGCGACAAAAGATGACGGGAAGAATACTGGTTGTCGAGGTCGGATACGTCAAAAGATGATCTGAAATAGGCATATCTGGCGCTAACGCGTATTCTTGGGTTCGAACCAACGCAAACAGACTTCTTGATTTTCTCCCATTCCTGAGACGATTAGTTGAGGGGTAAACGGACTGGACGTTCTGTGAATGAATTTCTGTATCCTTCGTAGATTATCGATCTAGTAATCTTTGCTGCCAGGACATCTGTTATCCGGATCCTTTCTGACGGTGTTCATAAGCGCGATGGTTCCCTAGTCATCTCAGTCGCTATCAGATTCATTACTAAGGGCCATGGTTAGCGGTCGGCGCTGTCATCTCAGTTCAAGTCATCAATTCCAGAAGAAGATCAAATGGTTATCGTTCTCGGTGGATCACAGGAGAAAACCGAGGATGACATTCATAGAGCTAGACAAGCGGACGTTGACAAGGGAAGCGAAGGTCCTATTTTATGAGAGTATAGATTTTGGTGTATCCAGTATACGTCTAGTCTCCAACTTGAAAGATTGCCTGAGGCCCATGAACACAAGATAGACGCGCTCGCCAGGATAGATAGAAAGATGCATTCGAGTGGGTGCTGTTTGGAATGATGGTTTATAGAATTGGCTTAGAGAGTTTACCTTTTGACTGAGATGGATTTTCCATCTGCCGCCTTCATCTTGCCCTGCGAGCTGAGTACGATTGAAGAATGTGATACTGACGGCATTCCCCTCCTGAATGAACTGTTAGGACGGAACCATTCGACGAACGGAAGAAAGTTCACCGTGCTCGCGTCTTTAGCCTAAGGAGACCTGGTTAGTGAGCTTGATAAATTTGAAGCTCCCCTTCTAGAGAGGGGTATGGCAGGAAAGAGGGTCTGACGACGAGGTATAACTGTTGAGTTTTTAAAAGGAAGACAAGCTGCGCATCCGATCTGTGAATGACAGTTGTTACCGTTGAAAGAGGGTATCTATTAATTCAGAACCACTCGTAGGGATCGCACGGGATGTCTCTGACTTCGAAGAGCAGGGTTAGTCTGACCGCTCACCCCAGTGTCAGTAATCAGTGTTCCCGACGATATCTGAAGAGCCAAAGCCGAGACGCATGTACAAAGACGTAAACAACACCGATTCCTGGAGTTATTAGAGAGGGTGCTACAACGGGGTCGGGAAGGACCCGGGGACATTGCCGTTTTTCGTAGCCTAGCTCTTCGCCATTGGCTTACGAACCGTGCGATATAATTTGATGTCGACCTCGATTTGCAAACGATAGCACTTTTCAAAGTGTTGATAGATGTTATCATAGCTGATGACCGTTGGACGTGAACAAATGGTCGAAGGCGGAGGAGACGGCACGGAAGAAAAGGCTGCGGAGAAGGGATGTGCGAAAACTATGGTCTTCACTTCCACAGATCGCAACGGTTTACTCTCGTATCGCATTGCAGTCACACAGGAATTAGCATGGGAGAAGGCACTGTTTTATTACGCGCCATACGAATACAATGTATACTTTGAACTAGGAGCTACTGACCTCGTAGTCGGGGACTCCATACCGCCATTTTGCCTGGGGCTGTTCGCATACTGAGAACCACGGCAGTATTGTGATGTAGAAGTACGCGACATTCTGGATTCAGAAGTCAGATTGTAAATTTTGCTCCAATCAAGAGAAAGCGAACACCAAAAGCCTTCTTAACTGGAGAATCTGCGCGCGCATGATATCCATGACGTGAACTGCTAGGAAAGACGCGAATCCTTGCTATCGAGATTTATGGACGACGACAGTCCTTCCCATCGGGAACGTCAATTCAGCAGAAGATAGGTACTGTGGTGCCAAATCGTGAGTGAAGAAAGGCGTCAGAGAAACATAAGACTCACCACACTCTGTCCTGCTTTGATACACGTCCCAGCCTCTGCATGAACGCGCCGAAGCACCGCAACCTGGATTTTATGCGGTCTTGTCGCAGAAAAGTATTACTAGAAATCAGAGGACAGAAATTAATAAGGTACATATGACGCAGAGATTTGGGAAATTTCACCTAGAGCAAAGCGGTAAAATGACGGTCCTGCAAGACGTTCCATATGCGTCCGGTCGGAGAGCAATTATGTCGTCGACCATTGCTGCAGTCGCCGACCGCCGAAGAAGGATTCACGACGGAAGAAAACGGATGGGATTGATGACAGCAGAAAGATGGCATGAGTGAAGAAGGAAGTAAATCGGACTCTCCACTTTGCGGATTTTCGTAGTACTTGCACGTAGGGCGAAGTGATTCGTCAAAGCTCTTGCGACTTGGAAAACCTTCAGTTGAGAAAATCTATGAGAGATTGAGACTTGTAGAGTTCCGAGACTCACCTAGAGTGAACTCCCGAGTCCCCAGTCATCTCAAGCGGCTGAACTCTCTTGGACTCTCTTGTTGCAAGGCGAAACGTCGTGTCCAAGTCCGTGGTAGATTTTCAGTCGAATAATCTATGAGAGCTAGACCTACGCGGTTCGAGATCGAGCAATAAAGTGGGAGCGCAGTGGAGGTAACGATGGAGAAGGAAGCCACACGTCGGACCCTCAGTTACGGCATCGGTACCCCGGACACCTGGTGCGCACGGGCCCGCGACGTGATTTCCCTCGCATGCCAAACAAACACAAGTACTCCGGATCGATATGCCGAGCGCGTGCCTCTCATTGGCCTTTCACGCCAGCTTCTCTTCTTCCCAATTTACATCATGAACTTCACAATTATTTTGAAGCTCCATATTCACACTTCACGGCAACTCGGACTCCCCTTCTTCCCTTCTTCCCTCTTATCACAACTTCGCCTGTGTTTGCCACTGTTCCTTCAAGCTTACTGAGCTCCGCGGATAGCCCAGTTGAATTTTGACTTCCATCTTCTACTTGCATGAACTGGATGACTCCTCAGCGCTTATCAAGCGAAAATACGCCAGAAACACGTATCTCAGCTGGTATCGACTTTTCTTCAGTGCAATATCACAACCGCTACTTAGAGCGGGAGAATACCGAATCACTGCGCTTCCCGGGGACAACGCTATATCGGAAGAATGATGTGCTCTATGTGCGGCATTGTCAACTGCTTTGGCAGCTGCTAATCGTCAGTTTTCAAAGTTCGAGCCACCGTATTCAACCGTGACAAACCACAGGTCTTCGCTGTCAAAGTTAGATTGAATATCGATGTTCATGTGAAGTGCTCCAATGACTAGACTCAATTGTTGCTCACTTCCTGTCCAAGTCACCTTTTTCGAACGTTATCGATTCCACCGGGAAGTCGTGATAGGAAGCAAGTGAAAACCCTGGCCTCACCTCTCCGTACCATATTAATGTGATCTCTAGACTGCACCGGATCATTGATTGAAGTCTCATGACGAACCACGCGTCCTTCGTTCACGCACGATGACCTCTTAAGCTAACGTGTGCCAAGTTACCCCTTCTTCCCCAATTTCCGTCCACCATGCAAAAAAGAACCGCCATTGTGACTTTCCCTGCCCAGGGCGGTTACTCCAAGAGTATCGCCCTCCGCCTCGCACAAGATGGCTTCGATATCGCCATCTGTGGATCACAAACTCACAAAGCCTTGTTGGACGACCTTCAGCAAGAAGTCTCCGCAAAGGGCGTACAGTGCCGGGGGTACATCGTAAACTTTACTAGCGAGGAAGACGTCAAGGGAGTGATCGACTCTGTTGTAAATCACTTTGGCAGCCTCGATGTCGTAGGTATCCTGATGATTTCCTTGGACATTGGATACTGATCTGAATTAGATGGTCGCGAATTTGTTGCACTTTTCGTCTGTCTCGCCACTCATCGATAGTAGATGTCTTCCCTATCTAATACGACGTTCTCACCGCTTTTCTAGCATCCATCGACTCGTGGGACAAATCATTCGAGTTCAACACTCGAAGCGCATTCCTTTTCTACAAATACGCCGCGATCCAGATGATCAAACAAGGCCGCGGCGGGAGTATCATTGGCTCTTCCGCCACATCAGGGCTGCAAGGTAAATCTCATCCTTCCCCTTTGCTCACACAACGCTCATTGAAATATCATAGCCTGGGTACCGAACCTCACCTCCTTCTGCGCCAACGCCTTTGCTATCCGCGGGCTTACGCAAAGCGCCGGTGAGGTATCCTAGTTTTGCATAGCTATCGGAGCTGACGTTTTGCGTACGAAGCACTCGAACTCGGACCTCACGCGATCACAGTGAACGCGTTCGCCCCAGGTAGGCAGGGCTATACCCCCCCTCTAAAATATCACTCAATAATCTTCATTGGGAAGGATCCATCAAAAATGAACAGCGTAGCTATCCTCCCCAACCCCTAACCTTGTGCTCAACGTTAACCTCCACAGATCGCACCACAGTCGAGAAGATCCACCAAAACTCCCAGCTAGACGTTCCCAACCTCGTACGTCCTCCCTCTACTAAGTACTCCGTACCCTACCTACCTCGATTCCTAGGTGAACACCCGAACACCTTTAGCGCAGAAAAGCGGTACGCCCGAGGATGTCGCTGGTGTCGTCTCGTTTCTCGCATCGAAAGAGGCGAGGTTTATCACTGGTGAGCAGTTTCTTTGTTATGTTTGATCGGGATGCTTATTGTTGACACAGGGCAGACGGTACGCGATGTAATGTTTTTAAAGGAGATAGAGCTGACGGGATGTCGCATAGATCTCTGTGAACGGGGGTTTACACATGACTTGAGCGTTTTCCGCGTGTTTAGGAAACAAAGCTGTAAACCAGTAGTGCTGGATATGACTGTCTCGTCCATCACGCATTTCATAGCTTTCCCTTGCGAGTAATGCAACGACTGAGAACAATCACGAGCGAATATCACTAAGCTGTAGGGATTCGAAAGACGCAACTATGTAGAGAGACAACTGGGTCTTTCACATGAAATATCGAGAAAGTTCAGGGACTTCTGAGTACGGCTGTATGTGACGCCGTTCCTAGCAATGAGTGTCAAGGTAAACCTGAGACGCGAAGGAATATCACACCCCAACCACACGTAACCTACATTGAAATTTGACATGGGTAAGAAGTCTCTGGTCGGCAATACGTGATGTCGAGAAAAAACCACGTACCTCAGAATGTTCAGGTAGTCAAAGATCGACCTCTTGCAAACGCCTCTGCAGAAGTAAACCTAGCCAAATGAAGCAATCAGTCAGTCGTGTGTAGAAGGCTGGACCGTATAGGCAATGGCACCCGCCAAACAAACATCCCTTCTGTAGGATTTTTCTTTTAGGAAGTTGAATAGGGGTGACCAGCGGGAATGAGATACGTCCTTGTATTCGATGCCTCGTTCACGACATCCACGAACTGTAGGATTTCCAAACTAAGCCACGTGCATAGAATTGGTACCGTTGGCCGCAATATAAGAAGAGGCAACAGAAGCTAAGAATTTCTCCTCGGTATAACTGGACGAGTTCAAGTAAGATACGACGCCGAGTAGGCTATATTACCACCAACCTGGCATCATTGTCAGTGCAGATATAAACTGTACACTTATTCCGGACGTTTCGCCAGGTCTCCACATTGACAAAGCTGGATGACACCGAAATTTGATCAATACTCTCAGTGACGATGTGACAGGTGAGAATGCGAATGTGCCGGGACCAAGTCGAAGAGCGTCGATGCTTTGGAACGAGCATAGAGTAGAATTAGGAGTTCGGCAGGTTTTCTTCTGTAAATAGTGTCAGGGAGCAGTTCATCATTGTAAAGGACAGTTTACTAAGTGAGCGTTGGTCCATATCTGTATCACCGTCGGATCGGCCGTTAGATGTTTAATTTGCCTACACGCACGTTGGCATCAGCCTCCTTCCATTGTTATAGCCAATACTTGGGAAAGAACGCTACCACCAATTAAAGTTCAACTGTAGAGTGCTTCGTCTGCTGAGTTGTTGTTTTTTCCGTTGTGATCTTGTCAGTGACGACGGTTCAGTTTAATCCTACACCCTTCGGGCGTTGGCACGAATTCAGAGATACATCTTACTCATTGTTGAATACAGGAGATACGAAGTAGGCTGTGGAATAGAACTCAATACCCGAGAAAGCGTCGACTTGGTTGACAATACGGACGCTACGAAATGTACGTACATGACAGCGCTGATTTGTATTGCATGTATAACTTCCAGTAGACCGATGGAGAACAGTGGCCTCTATAGACGAGCTAAGAACGAGTAGGGATGTGCACCGTACCGTTACGGATACGGCCGTACCCTTGACGGATGGATACGGATACGGATGGACCGTATCCGTACCGTAGGAGCAGGAAAAGCGAGGTTCACGGTACGTACGGGTATACATACGGACGTAACGGCCGTATTACGGTCGTAGAATACACTCAAAAGACCTGCATGTTCTCTGCAGCATAATACTAATAATCATCGTCGTCTCCATGTAGACAAAAGAAGATCCACTATAAAAACAGTCACTTTCGAAGTCTTTCAGGGAATCAAAGAGACGTACACATCTTGTGTTCATGAATTGCGTGGGCAAAGTCATTTTGGTGATCTGTATCGTAAGAGTGGCAGTGAGTGCGGACAGCAATGGAAACCTAAGCAAAGAATGTGTGAGGTATGCACATTTAATACTCCAGAGTTTATTGCATCGTGCCAGGTGATACAGTAATGTTTCATTTATAAAATACTAAAAAACAGATTGACGACGGCAACTTGCACATTGCTGAGACAAATGCAAATTGTCATTGAGAGAGGGGGACTACGCATGTAATTGGCGTACCTTGTACCAGGTTGAACTAAGTTGAAACACTCGACAGATTACAGTGGCAAGCAATTTTCAGATGAGAAAGCGAAAAGGGAGTACAAATAGTCTGTATAGACAAGACCAAGATGCCCTTCAATGCAAATGGGACGAACAACGGATCGAAGTATGGAATGCCAGAGTAGCTACACCATACGCACCGTTATCGACATTAGTGCGAGAGAATGGACCATCAAAAGCGGCTTCGGTTTGATATCAGTTGCAGCTGCCGTATACGGCCGTAACGGCTTGTTCCGTACGATTGTTACGGGTACTGACCGTACCGTGAACCGTACCGTACCTTGCAGTCTCACACTCGCGACGGTACGGACCCGTATCCGTATGTGCCGTACGTATCCACCGTATTACGGATACGGTGCACATCCCTAAGAACGAGATATGGGTATCTCGAGAAGGCTAGATAGGAGATAGGAGATATACACCGAAGACTGAACACCACGACGAAGATTTGGGATGACCAATGCCGATACAGGATCCCTTAGTCCGCCTCGGGCTCAATACCTCTCTGCAAGTCCCAACTCGTCGGCATGCTATAAAATGCATGTGAAAGCAACTGCATGGCTACGAATTCGATGCAGAAAGCGTAGTCATCCATATGGTATTTACGTGGCATACCACAAGGATACCAAAGGCAGCTAAGGCAAGGATTGATAGTGACGAGTAGCGTGGGATGAGAACGATGTCATGGACATGATATGATGAAGCCTTGACAGAGTGATCTGTTCAAGATCTGTTTCTGCAGTGAAACCGAATCGGGTGCTCCGATAATCCCCTGCCAAAGCTTCAAGATTTGAAAATGCCAGTCTTCCGAAAATCGGTCAATACTGTCAATGGATATATCTATATTTCGACGGGTGATACTACCCGTGAGAACATGGAGCCGCAAAGAGGCAGTGCAGTACAGTATACAAAGACGCGGGCGGAGAAGAGGTCAAAGATAATGGTGATCCAAAAATAGAATGAGGTGGGTGCCGTGCTGTCTCGGCATCACCCTTCCTTGGCCCGAACCACGATGCTCGCGCTCTCCCTTTTTGACTCCTGCCAGTATTTTCGCTCTTTGAGTCGGAGCATCGCCACAGATCGGAAGACACTTGCCTCTACATCATCTTGCTACGTCGTTGGTCAGCACTCTCTGCATCTGTCGGTTAGAACACAGCTCGTAAGGCAACGCCTCTAAAATTCCTCATAATACGTCTTCTGGAATTTGGACTTCATCTCTGTCTGATAGATTATCCCTTATCTAACGTAGAAATATTCAGCTCATGGCAAGCTATGACCATTTTGCAATTTCAGAAGACCTAGTTGAGCTCAGAGAGGAGGACGTCACGATATTCCGGGGGGATTCTGTGAGGGCAAGAAGAATTCGACGTGGTCGCCTGCGTGGTTGCGTGGTTGCGTGGTGCGTGGCTGCGTGGTTGACAAATTACGGGACTTCGATCAAAAGTTGATCAAGTCCATCAAACGCGACTTGAGTCGACGCGTTCCGTTCTTTTCTGTTAGTACTTGCATAGAATCAGCTGGATTGTGAATTCCTGAATGTTTAAATATGACAGCTTTAGTGTGATATTGAAATGCTTCAAAATATGGTCAATATCATGAAAATATCATTCAAACTGGATTGCTAAGTTTAAGAACATCAAAAGTATTGTAGCTGAAGTAAATAATTTTATGAGTATCCTAACAGTATAAAAAGGCCTTAGAGGTGATCTGCCAAGCTAGAAGTAATAAGGTACACAATGTGGGGTTCCCAGTTGAGCGGACATGATGAGAAGAATACGGAGTTCTACACTTGATATGAACAACACCAAAGAAACAAGCGAATTAAGAGGCAATTATACAAATGATACACTTTCTGAGGGCAAACTTATATGGGTTAGCGTGGTGCCTGCGAGGTGCCTGCGTGGTCTGCGTGGTTGCGTGGTTTGTCAGCGTGGCAGTGCGTGGTCAGCCTGCGTGGTGTGCCTGCGTGGCTGCGTGGTTGCGTGGCTGCGTGGTACGCCAGCGTGGTTACTTGCGTGGTCACGGTATATTAGTACATAAGGAACGAAAATTCTAGGGAGAATTAAATGACCAATTTGGTTAGTATTAGAGCATTCAAGGAGTAATTGACGTGATGTCAACATTGAATTAATGTTCATAGTGTCATAACATCTTTGGATTAACGACTTGATGCAGGGAAAATGAGAGAGTAGCTAAATTTTGATATTTATCCTTCTCATAATCATAGATACATGCATTGAAGATGCAATGGCACCTACAAATCCGAGATTTGAAGGTTTAAAACCTTTAATGGGCAACAATTGAGCATTGAAACATTTTCGAACAAAGGTCTGTTTCTTGCAGACAATTTACCAATGAATAAGAAATACATACAAGTATATGTTTAATGAAGCATTCTTATCATTGCGCAGTATATATGTACAGTCAAGGCAAGTTCAACTCAAGTTCAACTATGGACTTTGCGTGGCCCACGTGGCCACGCACCACGCACGCGTGGTACCACGCAGGTGACCACGCTGAATTTCTAGTGCCCATTCTGTGAGTATCCTCCACTCCGTTATGCCGTATTGTTTTATTTTTGTTTATTATAGCCTTGGCGTCATAAAAAAGAAGACGGACTATGAAACAGGCTCAGACAACCGACGACCATATAGCGCATCGCACGGAGTGTATCACCGAACGAAAGTGGGACGTACAGTGATCTGGTTGGTTGTATTTCAGCAGTCAAAGTACGTCTCATCCGACGTAATTGTGCATTCAGTAACAGTTATGTAAACTCGGAACCCCTCAGGATGGAGTACTGCATATCCTCGACTTGAAGCATTCTTCTCTACGCCCCGACCGTTCCCAATCTTTTCCCAAATTAGGATGATGGCCACAGTGAAGGATGATCTCTCCCGAAGATTCGCTATCATCCTTCAAGCCTTTCAATTCGCGCGATATGTGAATCTTCCCATTCACCGACACCTTTCACAGGAGATCTTTCTGCTAGCACTTCACTCCAGCCGTGTCGTGGAGAATTAACTTGTCCAACTTGGGATGTCGAGGTGAACAGTGCCCCTTCTTTTACATTGAAGTTATCTTATCCTCGCATTAGTGCAATGCAGCTGATGGAATAGGAGTTGTATCATCGCTCTGGCCGTCAATGAATAAAAGCCTACACTTTATTTCCGCGGCATATGATTTCATGCTTTGATGCGGTAATCCTGTCGAGCCTTGGTAAGTACCAAGTTCGACGATACCATATTCTTCCTTAACATAATTCAATTCAATCAGCCATCAATGTTGTCTCTACGTCGTCTGCTCTTTGGTTCGAATGACGATTCGCTTGCTCTACTTTCAACTCGCCACGAAGTTCTGGAATGAGAGGACAGCTCTCCTTCTCCTCAGCGATTTGACGACAATGGATCGAGGGTCATGCAGCTGCAACCTTAGACGAAACCAGAACCCCAAGTAAGGCATGACCCTTCGAAAAGTGACGAGCAGGAACTCACTCTTACCGTCAAGGTCTGGCTGTCGGTGACCACTCCTTGGACACTCGGCCTGCATGGCGATTGCTATCCTAAAATGAGATGATGTCGAGGTGAATATCGTGCCTTCTTACACGTGGATACCGTCTCATCTCTTCATTTAGTGGAGAACCTTAGCATAATCATTAATCGATCTCCCTAGCTCGTCAACCATGATATCATAGCCCAGAGGTAGGTTCAATCCAGTGCTCACAGCTCCTGAATTAACAATATCAACAATACCATACCCGTTCCAACGCCAATCGCATCCAGAACATGCCCATATCATAGCCTGTGCGTGTTAGATGTCCCTACCTACGCGTCATAATCACATGAAGCGATAACTCATTGGTTCGTTATGCTCGCACGGGTATCCAGGGCCTGTTAACTGGAGAAAAAGAACCAGCTCCTCAACGGTCATTGCGGTGTACCCTTGTACCTCGGCAAGTCCAATCCTGACACGTTCCTGGTAACTGATGATATGAATATACTTCGCTACGATCGTCATTCTTGCTGATAGATTCTCTCAGCTGGATACCACTGGAACTTCCCTACGTTCCCACTCATGCGAGGTCATTCCCGTTCGTATTCATCCAGATGAGTACGTTTTAATGCTCGCCTTCTTCAATTTGTTCTGACATATACACAATGCAGGCTTGTACATATATTTTCGACTACAAATCAAGTGATAATCATCATAATCACCCTCTCCTCAATGGAAGAGAATTTCTCATCCTGAACTTGGCGATCACAGATGCCGACACAAGAAACGCGTAGGACTTATGGAAGCTGCCAACGTAATATCCGGATGAGCCATACTCGCTACTGGTCCAATATTTGCCAGTTTCAAATATGAGTACTGCGAGTATATAATAAAGCCGGTTTTCCAGGCTAGTATTTTGAACAGTGTAGCGTTGTATCAGGTGATTGTCGCCTTGATTACCGCGGTAAGCATGCTCACACATTAATACCCCAGTCCTGATCCAAACTTGGGCAGAACAACCTGTTTGCTAGGGTTCCTGTATATCGAAACCGTTACTACCCCTCCGGATTTGAGGTTCGTTAGGTTTGTTCTCGATGCTAGGTAAAATGGTCTGTCAGTTCTCCTTGGCCAGCACCGACCGCCCTTGAATATATAGTACACCACGCACCAAGTTAATGGATGCCCTGGTACAAAACTGCGCGCGCTATGAACAAAGTGAAGCCTCTGAAATCGGCTTCCCTCATAGATCACATGACCCCAACGCGCCGAACGCGTCGCGCTATCCTGGCAAGTCCGGCTTTATTATATACTAGCGGAAGGATACAGAGACGGAATAGCGCCGGAGGCCATATGTGCTATCATCTAGGTAGATTTCTGTGCCAGATAAATTTCTATGCACCTGATCGCTGTGTACGGATCCTCCTATCAACCGACTACCGTTTCCATTTAATCCTATCTCTAACAATTTTTTGCTGTTCTTCTTTCCAATTTCCATCTTCCCATTACCCATCCATACAATATTTTTGCAATTTTGAGCCTTTTCAGTCTGAACACACAAAGTGAACCACGACACACCTCGCCCTAATATTAATGTATCCCGCTGCATGGTAGATCAGCGTGAGTTCCTCTCCGTAGTCTCGTAGACACATTGCTGACAGACCTTCGATCCAGCGAAACAATACACTTGCCATACACTTGCCATCCCTGAGTCTGCTTGCGTTCCTCGAGTGTCTTCCAAGACTTATGAAAGCTAAATACAAGGAGTCGAGAACAATGCCACAAGCAGCTGTAAGATAGATAAGTAGGTGATCGTTCAACACAACAGCGTGAGTCGAAGAAGGAGGTTCGAGTCGTAGAATGTATAACCGAAACTATATATGCGGTATGTACGTGGTCCATTGTACCGTATGAAAGGCTAATGGTGGCAGGGAACGTAACTGCATGAAGGCAAGGACGATCAGCATAATCCGCGCTATAATGTATGCAACTGCTCCAACGCTTGACAATATAACCACACAGACCCACAAGAACAGATTCCAAATGCGAGAGTCTGTCCATGAGTGTGGTAATATCTGTGGTACCTTCGACATCCACCCGGGACGTTGCCCCTCAGTAATTAGAGTAGCACCAGGGTAATGTACTGCTGCAAGGAGTCCAATTAAGACTGCCAAAGATGAAACCCGCCATAGCATCATTTCAGTGGGGGATGGAAAGTAGAATGACCAAGCCGCACAATGGAAGGCCCCGAATAGCGACCCTACGCAAGCCAGGATCACAAAACGTGACCACGACTGATTGCTGGTACCGGATGAAAATCTGAAGGCGCCGTATGTGATGTCCTTATACATGTCGATATCCCATAGACAGTCGTCTGTAACAGCGAACCCTAAAATGGTACGCAGCACCAATCCCAGCGCAGAAGGTTCTGCGAGAATGCGATGGAGAGGGTCTGTTTCCGGTGTTGGTTGTAACTTTTTCGCATTGGGCCCGTCCAAAGAAATATGATACTTAACATTGAGGGGCTTATACCACCACAAGCAGTAAGTGATCATGCTAAGCCCAGCGAATGCGAGTGCGGTCATTTCAAGGAGCGTGATAGGAAGATACTGAATGCTTCGACCGATGCACTGTGCGATGAACCAGGATATTTGGAGGATAGAAAACGTTTTTGACAACGCATCGCCTTTACTTTTGTCTTCGATTGTCTCAACCCTGACTGCATTTAGTTTCTTCATCAAGTCCGGTTGATTTTTGAGATCACGTAGAGTAAGGAGGCGTTTTTCGACCTTGTGGACCGTGCGACGATCAGAAGGGCCGCCTGGAAAGTGTAGATTACTGTGCATCCTGTATGAGCGGCTATCGTCGGCAGATCTTTCGGTGTAACGTATTTTTGTATAAAAAAACCCGCCCATGCTGAGAAAAAACCCATGAGACATGGTCAGATCTGGGGAATCGTCTTCTGTTTCCCCCCTCGTTGGACCTGGGGCGTCGTCCGCTTTTTTTCCTCTCCAAGCACGGATCACTGAGGAGATAGAAATATCCATTCCTATTGGTTTTCACTGTAAGTCGGATAGCATCCGATAACTTGAAATACACACCGTGGCACAGCCTCCATGCCACCATAAACTGCTCTGCTGCCCATGCAACGATAACCTCTGGCGCCAAAATTGCGACGACCATAATCTTCACGCGTTCAATAGCACAGGAAATGGACCCCTTTGTGGTGATGTTACGACCTGGGACATTGGGATGTACGGCGAGCCAAGTGCAAGCAAATATTGTGGCAAGGCAGCTCCATACGATACTCAAAATCGTTCGGCGATCTTCGAAACACACGGGTACGCCATCACGACCATCGGGAGATATCTCCACCTCAGAGGCGCGAGTGATGCACAGGAGAGTAAGAAAGATCATGAAAATTTGATACATCTTGGCAACTGGAATGAGTTCGGAAAATATTAAGATGCATGGCGGAACGCGAAACATTGGGGACACACCTATCCACGGAAGGAGCCGACCTGGAGAAACCCTTATTGGTACTCGAAGTTTCCTATATTTGTGTTAGATTAATGAGTGGTGAATGAAATATGCTCAGATGCGCACCAGAATTCCGTGCGGACGATTCCTTTTCTAGACTTGAGCTTGAGAACGCAAGTAGGGGCTTTCATTTATAATTAGTCAAATAATGGGTTCTTTAGACAAGCGGATGCACTGGATAACTAGTGGCCCATGAATGCGGGGAGGGCAACTTGTTGTTGCCACAGCGGGGAGAAGCAGAGATCGCCATGGGTTCAAACGAGACGTCCATGAGGACATGCATATCTCACGGCATTGCCATGTGAACAACTCGTGTTTGACTATTCTGTGTTCCGGAGTTTTCATCACAGCTGTTCACGATGACATGAAGAGGCGATGTTCGCAGTTACAGGCACCACAATGAAAACAAGAGTTTTCTTGGAAGACCTTTATCGTGAATAAATGAAGGGATGCCAAAACGTCGGGTGCTATTGCTTAGTGTAGCCCGTATCATTTGAAGCAGTTTAATAATGGACAACATGAGGTGGAAGAAGCGGAATGACAACAGCTATTTTATGAGTGAACGTGTGCAGTGCTGTCGAAAATGAGACACGTGTAGGAGGTGTGAGGCAGTTCAGAAGTTCTCAGCGTCTATTCGAAGCTCAGGATAACGATAGAACCCGAAGCTTGAGCTCGAGGCCATGACGCCTTGAGGAGTATAATGAATGATATTCACGGAAATGTGGAATGAATCAAGAGGAATACCAAGCAAAGTAAATATTTTTGCGAGGTGGCAAAAGGAAGAGTTGCGGGAAAAGTCTCATCCGGACCGGAGGGTGGTGGTGTTACCGGCGCCAGGTCCCAATAAGGAACGGCCGGGTCCACAGCCCTGACATGGCGAACCATGCGCTGTGGCCCGGGTGACTGGGTGATAGCAATTTCCAATTCGATTCTCTTCCCGCTTCGACCTCCCCGTCACCCCTGCTGTGCGAGGCGGCATGTGTTTTGTTTCAAGGACTACGACCTAAGAGAACCACCCTTGGAGAACTGTTTGGGACCAGGTACGTATCCTGCAATCAAGTTCCTGGCAACCTTGTTGATTTCAGCTTTCTACGAGGATACCATGCACACTAGCGCCAGGCCCAGTCCCACTCTTCCGACCCTGTTTCCTTCGGTTAGGTCCATGTTTCTCAGAAGATTTCCCCTGCTTTCCGTCGTGTTTCACGCTTCCTTGATTGAAGCTAGCATTATCAGAGATCATTGAACAAAAGCTCTCTTCGGAGATTTTGGGAATAAGGTCCCAACAACAAAAAACTAGAAGGAACGGCTACGCATAGGATTAGCAATGATGTTACATCGTTCTCTTCGAGGGCGCTTAAGTAGTGCCTCTGCTCAAGGTATTGTTACTTGGTTCTCTCACTCACATTTTTTAATGCAGTGATCGACGTTTTATGGTCTCTGCTTGTTATTTACCGTCACTTCCATCAAATTTGGAAGGATAATCTACAAATATGAAATTCTTAGTCTTACGTGGTATTGGAGGATTAGTAGACAGAGGCTGAATTGCCGCATCGTCATTTTGAGCAGCCATGAAATCCATTTTTTCAAGGCTATCAGTTATCATTAGGTGAGCCCAGTTGCCCCACGTTTTCGCGTCGTTGTTTAAAAACATTGCAAGGTATCAACTGGATATACATGTATCAGCATCGTTTATCAATCCTGAATAATTGTAATCACATTTTCATGAGACCATATCAGTACATTAATGGCTGAGAAGGTTTTACGACACCGGTTACTGTCTTAGCACATACTGTCAAGCGCAATAAATATGAGCTGACACCGCTACAGTATTTGCTGAAATCGATCCTTCTTTGCTCGAAGAAGCTGCATATCGGAACTCACAATCAACTAAGGGTCAAATCGCCCGTTATCCGGATTCCGTTTGAGTTCCTTTTTTCCTTTCCAATGCAGCCTCCAAGATGAAGATGAGGCGCAACGTGTCGAGCCATTCATTTCCGGAATTTTGAACTATGTAAGTTTTATATCTGGTGGGTAAGGCGACTGTGTATGATATTGCTTGTACGAGGTGGGTTTCTTCCTGACTGCAAAGATGAGCATATTAAAGCTTTGCTACCCTAGTCTCGCTCCTAACTGAGGCGGACCAATCCCTTCGTGGATCCCTTCGTTTGATGCCGGTCGTATCATCAGCGAGGAAACGGGCCTGCCAGTTCCTCTCGACCAGTGCTACTCGTCTTTTTGAATACACAGTGCCCCAGCTTTCGGACCTCCGCACTCTCCAAAACCTTCCAAGCCAGTGAAACATAGCACCTCCATCAGCAAGACAACGGAGGTACACGATCTTCAGGAGGGACCAGACTGTTTGTCACATAAAACCTTTCCACATCCACCGACGCATCGTTTTGATCGTACTGTAACGCATTTATCCCAAGGAATCGTCTGACTCCTCTCCAATGGAGGGATGCTTTCGAGGCCGTGAATAAAATCTGCGCTGCTTAGAGACGAATATGAGCATGCGTTTGAAGTCACTCGAATAGCTTACCTATGAAGTGGGACGGATTTTCCTTTCTTTACCTTCATCCTCTTCGTGGGCCTACCCTGTGAACTGGTTTTTCAACTTAGCGGTAATACGAAGGACGATCGAAGACTGTGATACTCACGGTATTCCCCTTTTCAACGGACTGTTAAGTGCGTGGCAAAACTATTCGACAGAGCGTCCACCATTCCCTAGCTCCTCGCAAATTATAGCAATTTTGAAAAATGATGAGATTCCTAAAAAGAATCAAAAAGTTTTGGCCACACTAAAAAACCTCCGAACCCGCACCCAGAGGCTTATGACGATCGACGTCATAGGTCGTCTCAGATGGCGCGCACTGAGATCGGGCTGGTATTTGACAGTTTTGGTCGCACCAAAACTTTTTTATTTTATTTTGAAAATCTCATCATTTTTCGAAATAGCAATAACTGGGCTAGAATGGAGAGCTTGCTAGATTTGACCTTTTCCATTAGAGACAGGGGTAGAAGGGAAAATGTTCCGATGACGAGGTATGGCTGTTCAACGGAAATTGAGCTTTTGAAAAGGAAGATGAAGGTGTCATTTACCTTCTGAGCGACAATTGTTACATTTGGTACAGTTGAACTGAGTGGTGTCCAAACTATCATCTCTCTCAATGACCGAAAGAACAGAAGTGCGAGAAATAAGGCCTTTAATGAGTAATAAGAGCAAGGGCATCTATCCAGAATGATTCTTTGATGGCTACCACCAACATCTCTGAGAAACACGATCTGGAAAGGCAGGATAGTTAACAAAGCAGATCTTGAGGACAACAATTATTAGCTCCTGATGTCAAGTGGTGCGGGAGAACTGAGCCTCATCTTTTATGTCGAATTAGGAAGAAGCTAGTAAACCATCCCTGCACACCATCACATACCTATCATTGCAGTTCCAGCCTAGCAGAGGTCGCCATAGCACCGTTATTTGTGTCTCAGCTTTCTGTCGCGGAATGAATCTCATGAACTGTAGGAGGAATTCGCGTCAATACAAGTTTCGTGAGATGACACTTCTGGATATGCCTTTTGCTCGATACTGTGGCCAGATATGTCAATCATGAAGTGCATATCTGTGAGAAAATGCGCACATATTGACGAATTATAATACGCAGAGAATAGGGAACCGCAGAGAGGCAATGCAGTACAGCGTACAAAGACGCGGGTAGAGTAGAGGTCAAAGATCAAAGTGATCCAAAAATAGAATGAGGCGAGTGCCGTCTCGGCATCGCCTTCTTGGCCCGAACCATGATGCTCCCTCCCTCCCTTTTTGACTCGCACCAGTATTTTCGCTTTTCGCGCCGGAGCATCGCCACAGCTTCGATGCACTTGAATCTATGTCGTCTTGCTATGTCGTTGGTCAGCACCCTCGGCATGTGTCGGTTGCTACGCCCCTCCTAAGGCAATGCCTCTAAACCTCCTCGTCGTACGTCTTCTCAAATTTGGACTTCATCTATGTCTGACCGATTTATCCCTGCTCAGATGTATGACTCACTAGCTCACTGCGAGCTACATGTCCTTTCCAATCTCTGAAGACCTGGCTGAACTCGGAGAGAGAGAGAGACATCACGATATTCCGATGGGAATGACTTCTGTGAATATCCTCTACTCCATTTATGTTCGTATTGTTTCATTTTATTTCAAATTTATGCAATATATACATATAGCCCCGGCGCCATTAACAAGCAGAGGGATTATGAAACTAGCTCGGACAACCAGCCGTATACCATATCGCACGGAGTGTAAAATCGAACCAAAGTGGAACGTGCAGTGCTTTGAGTGGTTATATTGCAGTCGTCAAAGTACGTCTCGTCCTGCTTTATTATTCATAGTTAAACGTTAAACACAGAACCTCGAATAAGGGAGTACTGGATATTCTCGTCTTGAAGTGTTCTTTTTGCCCCCGACTGAACGAAATTACCTTTTTACCGCCGTTGGGCTTGAGCTATGGAATTGAATTCTGCGTACCTCTCTCTCAAAAGCGACAGGACAGTTCCCAATCTTTCCCCAAATTGCGATGACGGCACAGTTGAGGATGATCTCTTCTGGAGATTCGCTATCATCCCTCAAACCTTTCACTTCAGGCGATAGATATAAATGAATATTGACGTTTATCAGTACAGTTCACAGAGATTCTTCTGCTGACGCTTTACTTCATATGTATCACGAAGAAATAGCTTGTCAGCTTGACGTGAACGGTGTCCATTCTCACACGCTGATGTCGTCTCTGGCTTTGTCTGACCTTATGTTCGAACACCATGCTAGTTCAAGGATTTTAAAGAAACTGCCACTCTCTTCTCCTCCGCGATGTCGGCAATAAAAGCTCGAGTGTCAAGGTCAAGGCGAAATGGGCGCTGCTGTGTCGGAAACCTCAGATGAAGCCAGAACCCCAGGTATGGCATAAGTCTTTGAAAAGTGACAAACACGGACTTACTCTTCCCGTCCAGATCTAGCTATCAATCACCATTTCTCGGACAGTCGGCCTGCGTCGAGATTGTTGCTTACCCTGGAATAAGACAATGTCGAGGTGAATATCACTCCTTACACATGGATACCGTCTCACCTCTTTTTTTACAGGATTGTCAGTCAGTCATTACTCTTCCACCGCATGGCTTCGAACAGGTGCATAACGCTCCTGCATTTACAACACCGACAATACGATGCTCTCATCTCCGCTAATCATCATCTACACATCCAGAAGACGCCTGCATCCACAGTAGATGCCCCTACCTACGCATCATAATCACATGATGCGATAACTCTTTGTTTCGCTATCTCGTTACCTTGTATCGGCCTCTACCAGCTTCCTCCATCACGGCGTCATCTTTATCAGAACAGCGTTCTCCGCTCCGGGCTCAGGATCTATCATTCCGTACTGCTTATTCCTCCAGCTGGAAACAACGATCTCACTTTGATCTTGATAATCGCAGGAAACCCGTAGATGCCAGCATAGACATTCATCGAAAACACGCATGATTTATCAAGGCTCTAGAGAAGCCATACTAGCTGCTGCAAGCTCCGCCGTGTATCGCCAACGGAGTTACCGACCAGCTATTTATTCAGGTAACCTAAAGTGGTCCGTTTGCATATTTCGAAGCTAAAGCATAACACGTAGAAGCTACCGATACACCTATACCGGTAATCTCTATGGTCAATATCATACTTCTTGGCTTGCTAAATTCCGGGAAAAGAAAGAGCGGCGGGTCGTCGTTCGGTGTGCAGTTGTACATGGGCGTTGCTTATCCTGAAAAGTAGGTGATATCCTCGGTAGTGATTATATGCATCACTGAATTTCAATCGCGCAGGCTTTATTGATCTTCGTAATGGCTATTATAGTAGTGGTACGAATATACTGTGATATAATCGTTTTTTCTTGTTGATAGCGTTTTTCAGGCGCCTGACATCAGAGACCGTCTATTTATGCTACGTCACCGCTCTCGCCGGACACGTGTTGCATATTCAATGGATGCTGTGGTACAAGGCGGCGTGCACTATGGATGAGGGGAAGCCTCTCGAACCCACTGCCTCAGAGGGCATGTGATTAGATGCGTCGCGTCACGTTTCCTTTTGTTAAAAGAATCCTGCATGCAGTTTATTTGTATGAGGTGGGTTACAGAGTTGAATCACGAGCATGTTAGAGCTCCCGACTCGCGTAGAATGGTCTCTTCGTCAAGATCCCTGTTTTTAAAAACTGTTACTATCCCATCCTGATCTGAGGGTTACGGCATTTGTGTACGATGCCGGTCAAACCTGGTCTCCCAGTTCCCATCAACCAACGTTGAGCCGTCTTGAATATACAGCAAACTGGCAGTCTGTCCTCGGAAGAATCCCCCGTCTTCAGAGTCAGAGCAATGCTGTAACCTTGCACCCGCTTCCTTGTCCGATACTCCGCCAATAAATTCTCTATCCTAAGCATTACTTTTCAGTAGTAATACTCCTGCAGATACCTCGTCTAAATCGTCCTGCAACAAAATTGTCTCACTGTCAACGGAGTACATCCTCCTGCACCGTCTCTGTTCGAAGGCCTCTGTAGCTCCCATCTCGTGATACGGACGCTGCCCAAGGTCAATATGGTCAGATTTTACTGCAACACAATGGATCCTTCATACTATTTTGGTCTCGCTGATTTCCAACTAGAATCTGGATCCTTCCCGATGCAAGCGACGGTGTTAGGGTATGTTACTCTTTTTCGCACTGCTAGCTTCATAGATGTTTGAGATCTCTACAGCGAAGCTAAATCATGGCAGTTTGTGAAGGCTCCAACGCCGGAGTGGTGTTTCACTCTTGCGAGGACTTGATAGGAGAGATACCACCCCGCGGTGAGGATATGTTCTATTAATGCTCATGTCCTGACATGCGAATCGTCTGCTCTCTAAGACCGTTGATTCCATGATAGGCTCACAATTCTTCCAGTTCTTATTTCCATTTTGTGGGTTCCTACGCAAAACACCTTCAATGTTGGACGTTTCCCGTTTGACCGTACATGAAGTATCCCGTCCTAACACGTCTCGCTATATAATGAATTAATGTGAGCTCTTCTCCGGCCTCTTGTTGATACATCACTGACAGACATTCAATCCAGCCAAGCAGCACACTTGTCATACGATTTCCATCCTTGAGGCTGTTTGCATTCCTCGAGTGCCCGTGGAGGGCTGTGAAATCCGGAGACAAAGAATCGAGCACTATTTAATATTAAGGAAAGTCTTCAAGGCCTGCAGGGAAGGCGTAAAGTATAATCAAAATTAAATGTGAGGTATGTAAGTGGACCATTGTACGGTATGGAAGGCTAACGATGGCAGAGAACGTAGCTGCATGAAAGCAAGTATGATCAACGTAATCCGCGCTATTATATATACGACTACACCAAAAGCCGACGCAACCACCGCAACCAAAAAAATGAACGAAACAAGGACATCACAGACGATCGGAAACCAAGAGTCTATCCATGAACGTGGAAGTGACTGTCGTAGCTTTAATTCCCAGTCCAGGACATCCATCATATGTATAGTAGGGAAAAATCCTACTGCAAAGAGTCCAATTACGACACCCAGAGACGAAAACCGCCATAGTACCATTTCAGCGTGTGATGGAAAGTAGAATGACCAAGCCGCGCAATGGAAGACCCCCAATAAGAATCCTACACCAACTATGATCACAAGGCGTTTCGACCATTCGTCATGGTCGGCGCCAGAGGAAAATCGAAAGGTGCCATCTCCAATGGTGTTATGCCCTTCAAAAGAATACTGCCCAGTAACGAGAAACGCTGCCCCCCCAAAAAACTGTAATAGCCCATTCATTACTGGTTTCATCGAAAGACGGCTCCAGAAAGACATAGCGTTTTTGGCTGAGGGAGAAGCAGATTTTTCGTGAATTCTTGTTTCTGGTGTCAGTCTGGATTCACTCCAGACTGACCCGTCCAAAGAGATATGATATTTGACATTCAGTGGCTTATACCACCACAAGCAGTAAGTGATCATGCTGAAGCCGGAGAATGCGAGTGCGGTCATTTCAAGGAGCGTGATAGGAAGATGCTGAACAGCTCGACCGATGCATTGTGCAATGAACCAGGATATTTGGAAGATAGAAACGATTTTTGAAAGCGCATCACCTTTGTTTTTGTCCTCTATTGTCTCGGACCTGATTGCCTTTAGGTTGTTCACCAAGCTTGGTTCCTCTTCCAGCGCCCAGATATCAACAAGTGTTCCTGGGACATCCACAGTTTCGTAACTACGTGTACCGTTTGGTGAGAGTAGAGCGTTGGATGACATGGTCTGCTCAGACAAGTCATCCCGGGCTGATGGTGGTGGCGACGGAGACGGTGGTATATATGTAGCTTTATGGGCGTCGGGTTCTGGATGAACGATATCCTCTTTTGCGGTATAGTAGAACCCGCCCATACTAAGAAAAAAACCATGAGCCATCGGTATATTCGTGTCTGTTGTTTACACTGTCAGCCGGATAACTTCTGACGACGTGAAATACCCACCGTGGCGCAACTTCCTGGCTACCATAAACTGCTCTGCCGCCCATGCAACGATAACCTCTGGTGCCAAAATTGCGACAGTCATGATCTTCACCCGTTCAATAGCGCAGGAAATGGACCCCTTTGCGGTGATGTTACGACCCGGGACGTTGGGATGTACGGCAAGCCAAGTGCATGCAAATATCGTCGCAAGGCAGCTCCATACTATATTCAAAAGTGTTCGTCGATCTTCTATAGATGCAGACAGGCCTTCGTTATCCTCGAGATATATAGGTGCCCCAGAGACATGAGAGATGAAAGAGAGAAAGAAAGAAAACATGAAAATTTGATTCATGGCGGCAACCAGGAAGGCTTTTGGAAGCATTAAACAAGAAGACGAAATGTGAAGGATTGAAACGAACTCATTCTATATTGACCGAAGGAACGAAGCCTCAGAAACTGGTTGTTGCTACTTGAATTCTCCTACATTTATTTTAGATTATTGAGTCGTGAATAAACTTACCAAGATGCGTACCCAAAAATCTTGCAGAGGATTCCTTTTGCACGGCACCTGAAAGCATTCATTGAAAGTTAGCAGAATGAATAAATCATCCAAAAAGATGTACATACGGATGCGCTGATGGGAACGTATCGTGGGGGATCAAGGATTGAGGCTAGTTATGAGAGAAGAAAGCGGGCTGCCTGCACGTCGCATACCACGACACTATCAAGTCGGTTGTGAGTATACTATGCCATATTCCGGGCTTTTCACTGTTCCGATCAAATAACAGTGTGGGGACATTGACAGAATGCGATACAGATGTTTCACAGAACCGAAATGGACATCAACAGAACACGATCATTAACTTTCTGTGATGCGGACGGATGCGTGGAACAACTACAGAATCCTTTCATAAGGATCCTTTCGAAAAGGGATTTTGTGGCAAGTTCCTCATCCGTGCACCCGTACTTTATTGAATAGCAGAAAAATAAAAAATAAAGTCAGAAGTGGATGCTAGACGTACCGTAGCTAGTAGGTGATTGACTGAAGGTTGTGATGAATTTCACGCTTCCTGGATGCGTTGCTTTTGTGTTAATGTGGATGTATAGGAGAAATGTTGGCGTCAAGTGAAATGTGTTCATTTGTTCGACATGCGTGCTTCATCACTGACTTGAAAGTACGCGGAACAGTACTATATGGGGATATAACATGCCATGTAGGCGTGATATGCTCATTGGTATGGAATACGCAGCTTTTGTTAGAATATGGATTGCTATTTTTAGAAGAGCGAGCTTGCATGAATATTCTCGCTCGTTCTCCCCATATTCCCCGGGACGCTTACTCATTTTATTGGTGATACATTACTCATTTATTCTAGTACATTCTATGTATTCTGGTAGTATAAAAGCTGCGTAGTTAGTAGGGCATCGCTAGCGCGATTGCCGTGAACATTAGTTCCTCTTTGTGCTTACCTGTGAACCACGAGTTCTTACAGCTTTTGCCCAATGAAAATGCTTCCGCTCAAGACGGCACTTGGACACGGTATAGACGGGAACGTAATAGCCCCCATGTTGGCCTTGTGCTGGGTTAGTAGCCACAGGCTTGGTCATCGTGTTTCCATGTCTTGTGGTGCGTTTGTCGTGCCCTTTGGTCTTCTATTAATGCGTAAAGCACGAGGTTAGTCATCTCTGTCATCTATTATCAGGGTCCCAGTCTCGATCTCAACTTCCCACTCGTGCTTCTTACAGAATATTGCTGCACCCGTACCCATCTTAAGTCTATCCTTGTCATCCCATATAGTCTGCATTGCCTGCCGTATTGCTCACGAGTTATTGACAGTGGAGCTCTGCTGTAAGATACGTGGCCACTAGGAGTTGCGAGTCCGTATCAGAATCGACGAAAAAGCAAGAAAACGTACTCCTTACTAACCTGGATCATCCGACTGACCTGCATCAAAACTGGATTGTATTCAACTATTGAGAAATTAGTCAACGAAGGACAGCATCAATGAGGAGATGGAAGGGAAACTTTTACATGTGGTATTATCCCATGCCGAACGCGATGAGAAACAGTCTTTTCATCCGAATCAATAGCGCCTTTAAACGGAAGTACGATTCAAAAATGTCGAGGCATGTCCAAGGAGAATGACCTGGATTGTACTCGAGTGAACAAAGTACCATTTGCACAGCTGAAGCGTTGGATATGACGACATATTTTCATTAGCTCTGTCCTCCTCCGGCAAATCCAAGATGCCGAGGTGTGCCGCAATTTGGGTAAATCATCGTCTGACTTCAGTATGTGCGGGATTGTGTCAGTGTGTCCATTTTTTGCGTGAGAGATACGAAGAGACATTTGTGTAAGAACTCGCGGTTCACAGGTAAGCACAAAGGAACTAATGTTCACGGCAATCGCGCTAGCGATGCCCTACTAACTACACAGCTTTTATACTACCAGAATACGTAGAATGTACTAGAATAAATGAGTAATGTATCACTAATAAAATGAGTAAGCGTCCCGGGGAATATGGGGAGAACGAGCGAGAATATTCATGCAAGCTCGCTCTTCTAAAAATAGTAATCCATATTCTAACAACATTAAGAGAACGCTGAATTACCTCGCACGAGAATAGTGGAAGCGGCGAACCCAAGAGGAAGAGCAAGATTTAAGACCTAAGATAATAGCAACGGACTACCATGGCGATGGTTTGGGGCTTTTCAAAGGCGAAATAATTTGCTTACATGTAACATAATTCCAATTCCGGCTTGATATGCCAATTATAATCATGGGTCCTCTTGAAGTCAGCGGAGATATACTTTACCAATACTCTCGCTCCTGACTGTCGGCTTGGTCGGCAGGGATCGACATCAATCGAGAGATTTTTCAAATAATGACAAAAGAAGATTTCAATGAGGCTGTCGGTTAGACCTGTAACCGATCGTCTTGAATGGGAGGCAAGCTCACGATCAAGACGACCTGTAAATCTGAGCTCAAATTTGGCTGATACATTTTCGCTTATCACATACCTTCCTAATTAGAATTATATACCTAATTGGGAACTGCCTGTCCCTTGATCGAGAACCGCGTCGCGTTCGTGTTAATTCTTTTTTCACCAACAACAGAGGCATGTCTTCCCCCAACGAGGAAGCGAATTCATTCTCCAATGTCTTCCAAACCAGTTTCGGCTTTGAGCCCTCCCCTGTTACCCCTGTAGCGTCATCTAGCACAGTATTCTCATTACCTGGCCGTCGGCAACCAAGACGAACATTTGCTCCAGCTTTCCATGTTCCCCCAACACCGTTAACCCGTTCGAGCTCCCTCCCCAGTCCACATACCCCTAGTATTGTCTCCTCATCCTTTGTTCCACCAAGCCCTACATCTGGGGACATCCTTGAAGGCACATTCCTGACACCATTCCGACTCGATAACAATCCCATAGATACATTCTTGCAGACTATGCGGTTACCCAGTCCCATCTCACCATCATTGACCTCATTTACTGCACCTGATGACTCCCCTGCCTTCTTCCCAGACACGTCTGGTCCCACTCTCGATGAAATACACCAGCTAGCAGATGCTACAGCATCGCGGCTTGCACCGTCTTTGATGCCTGGTCAGAGTCAAGCTAAAGCGGCTGAATTCGAAGCTCAAAGTGCTTCTGTTCTTCAACAGAAGGTGAAGAAGACATTAGATTTCTTGTCTTCAATTGACTTGACACCGCTGGATTTTTTTTCTGCTCTTGTGAGCCCGCGGAACTCCGGAAGCGTCTTCACGGATTTTCAAAAGCATCTTTTTCGCTCCTCATCTAAACGTTTTGAGGGTCTGCTTGACCTGCTGTGGTCGCACCCAAAGGCAAACGAAAAGTTCATGAACTGGATGTATCCGTGCGGTCTTCGTCTTGTGTTGGACCATGTATATGATGAGATGGACAATGCGAAGGAGCACTTCAGTATGACATCCAGCCTTGTAACGCCGGAGTTTCTATCATCATGGAATATTCAGGATGTGCTCTCTGCAGTGAATATGACGCGACTATTTCCAACTTGGTCAAGGATTTTAGAGGCGGCGACGCAAAGTAAAAAGGCGGAGAAGAACCACATACGAACTCCAGAGCTGGCAAGTTCACAAACTGTATTCATTGTCCATAATATTGACTGCATCGTCTAGGGATGTAAAATTGTTACGGTGCAGGTCCTCCATCTTCGCTCTGCCAACTGCGCCAAGTTTCAAACCATTGTTGGCCTTTTTGCGTGGGCTAGTGGCTGTTCTCGCCAGGCGATCGAATTTCTGAGTCGATGTAGCCTGTCAACATCATTTACCGGTGCATACAATACCATTAAAGTCTTGGCAAATAGATCTCCCAGCGAAGGGCACGTCCACCACACTGCAAACTATAAGCCAGACTCTCGGGGAGCCCTGCCTTAACCACGATGTCAACATCCGGAAAATCAACACCCTGAAGCACAAAGATGATTATCCATGCCAACCAATAGTTATTGGATTTAACATACCGTTGACTCAGCCGAAGTTGCACACAGAATTCGGCACTTGCCTGTCTTGGAGGTGAACTGCTCGTGGGCATGAACGAGGTATTCAGGGGACATCAAACTGTGATAATGAAGAATGATTCCCTTATCCCGAAGTTCAATGGGAAGAAGCGAAGTCAGATGCAAGGCAACACGTCGCGTGAGAGATGTGAGATCAAAGAACAAGAGGACACGAGGCTGCGATGCTGGATCCGAACGTCGTAGGAAGCAGTTATAGTTATCGAGAACGTCGAGGCCGCCAACAACTTTGTGAGTTGCGTAAATAGTATTAGGGCGATTAGAAGTAAGTCGGGTGACAGAATAGTCGTCTCGAAAGATAGATTGCTTGATTACGCACTCTACATGGGGTGGACAAGTTGCCGTGAGTCCCTGCCATGGAATTCGTGAAGGAAGAATGGCCTTGATTTCTTTCAGGCATCCCCAAGCGGGACGGAACGCGTCGAGTCCATGGCGCTTCATTCCAGCAAAATAGATAAAGTGAACCTCGTCAATGTTGACACGATCGATGCGCTTTTGAAAGCGAGTATCACATACAAGGCGGCAGAGGCGAGATAGATGTCCAGTCTTAGACTTGAACAGTTGTTCAGTCGTAATAATGAGGTGTCGAGCAGTGCCAGCTGTGCGTGTCGTCAAATTATGAACCATCATCTGGCAGACGAGATGAGTATCAGACTAGCGAGCACATAGGCAGCATACATTCCAGTAGTTATCATCATGTGGCATGTCATCGTTGATTGCTATTGTGTTGATTCTGTAGTGAAGGCAAAATGTAGCAACTTGAGTGATTTGGAGTCGTTTCAAAGGCAAAATCGTGAGTGTCAGGCCGTCCGGAGAGCCATTGAGAAGAATCAGAAGTGCAATAATGAGAGTTTTTCCAGAGCCAGTGCCTGCAATGACCAGAGAGTCGTGATCCTCATATGATTCCATTGCTGCCTCGATCTGAAATCTGCGAGGAACTTGTGATCCACGAGATGCGTAATAGCCGAGAAGTATGAATCTGTAAGCGAGGATGCGACGCGATATCGGTAGAGTATTCAGCCAAAGATAAGGAACCTTGTGCCATGGAAGACATCATATCAGAACTAGAAGTTGATCCAAAGATGCTGTTCGGACATCTGCAAGCGCTTCAGAGACAGTCCGAGGGTATACAGCTGCAGACATAGTATGCAGGCAAAGAACTCATAAATATCTTGTACAGTTGTCGCAGCCAGGCGCGAGAAAAGCGCGACGCGACGATGGTAGGACGTGGAAGAGCAATACAGAGCGCGCGTTCCCAATTAGGTATATAATTCTAATTAGGAAGGTATGTGATAAGCGAAAATGTATCAGCCAAATTTGAGCTCAGATTTACAGGTCGTCTTGATCGTGAGCTTAGCTCCCGTTCAAGACGATCGGTTACAGGTCTAGCTGTCGGTGACGAGATAAAATAATAGGGTGATCGTCGAGGTCGAAAGGAAAAGATAGTCTAAAAATAGACAAATGTGGCGCCTGCAGTGTCGGCACCATCCTCTCTTTGGTGCGAGCAACGACCGGACACAGTTTGTCTTACGTTCAGTGTCGAGAAATAGTCAATCTACTCACCGCAAGATCATTATGTACTCCAAATCTACACTCCAAGATCTTCTCCCGCTCTCCGTTCCTCTGTACTCAAGCTGCTCGTTCTATGCCTTATCCACACTGGGCTCAAATCATACCCTTTCGGACTGCGAGGATCACGGACCATGCAACACCCACACGCCGAAAATTGCGCTACCGATGCTGGGCATTTGGAGAAACTACAGTCGGTCATGCGTTACCATCATGGTAGAATATGGGTTTTTGGCGAGCTAGACTAAGATGCATTTTCTCTGTAATCAGTCGATAAGTTTGTTTTCAGTTTTGAGAACCGAGATGTTGTCGGTCGGTGTGAGTCAGGCGCCTTTAGGTAGGGGTCTGATCTTCTGAACAGGAATTGGTTTGCTATATTACGTGTTATCAGTTGTGGGTCCAAGGCGTCAATGGACTTGAAACTTACGCAACGGCCGCAGGCTGAACAGCATCTACTGTATCTTTCTTGTCGGTGCTGTATAGGATATGGAGCTTCTCCGTGACGGAAATATCTGCTATTTCCTTAATCCGTGGCGAGACATCAGATTTTCGTGCCTTTTCTGCGGTAGCTCTTCGATTCCAGCAGGAAAACTAAATCTGGTCAGAACGATAGCGAGACGAAAACCAACTAAATACTCCGCTCTTGCTGCTGGGTTTCCTGTTCCTCTTCGTTAGGCACAGATTCTTCCCTGTCCCAGTCAAGAAAAGCCTGCAAGGAGAGGGAAATACCGGGAGGTGACTCATCGCAGTCCCCCGGAGGGCCTATGCCTGCCGTTTGTCTCGGTCAAAGACCTTTTTGGTTCATCGTCATCTCCATACTCGTGCTCCATTGCATCAAGCTGTTGGCTAAAACCAAACAATAATCAGCCATAGTTACTTAAATGCCACGCTACACCGATTAACCTACCTCCTCGTAGTACCAGTAATTTCATCGTCATCAGCCTCGATCCCCGGCCCCCTCGCAAAGTCCCCGAGCACGAGAACATTTCCTCGTTCATCAACATCTCCACAACGCGCCATAACAAGTATGCGTATTCCTGCCTGCAGGGATCCTTGATCGATTTACGGAGACTCCTATAGGTGCTTCCTCGCTCAAGGCTGATGGTTTTCACTGTGGTTAGGACGCGTACTTCAGGAGCATTTCCACAGCAATGGAAGACGAAGATGTGTAGGTACAGAGGAAATCGTTGATTGAGAACGGATCCAAACTAGAGATTAAGCTGTTGATGAGGAAAAGGGGGAAGTGCTAGTTGGAAAACTGAAACGGCTACCATGAATAAGGTTCTCGTTATATTAGTTTCCATCCAAGAGGCGGCCCAAAGGCAGCCATAAAAAAGGAGTCGAAACGAACCAAAGCGAGTCGAATGAGAGTGCACCGTGACAGTATGATTAAAGAGACACTATACCAGACAAATCTCCTGTTATCGCAGGTCGGCGGTAGTGCAAGAAGACGAGGAGCGGCGGCTGGGAGGAGGGAAATCACAAAATGGTGTACGAAAATGGGTCCACACGCATGACAGGGGAATATTCAGCATTGTTGCAAGTGCTTAAACCAAATATAAGTATTGCAGCTAATTTTCAAGCTTTCATGACGCGTCGTTCAGTATCATCGTCGCGGCAACGAGCGCGTAGTCCTAAGAAACCCGACAGTGGCTGTGCAATTCGGGAGGCCGGCTGTGCCGGTGCCAAACATGCACAATCTCTTCTTTCAACAACCATCATGCCGTCTATGTCCCTTCCTCGACCCCCGATCCATCTTTGAGATTAACGATATTCTTCTTGGCCTTGCCTTTGCAACCTGTCTTGAGCGCAGACCTAGCCATTTGCGCTGCCCGAGATGAAGATGCCAGTTCGGTTGAGTCTGGTGGCTGAAGCTGAAGGCCGAGCCAGGTAGCGACGCATAGCCCTGCTCATTGACGCGGACGGCCTAGCCCCGGATGGATGGAAGTCTCAAGGTAAGACATGCGATTTAACTATGTTGAGCCTCAAACTGAGTCACTGTCCTTATAGCATGAGCTGCTTGAGCGCGATCTGGTGCGAGGATTTATAGAAATTGAAGAAGGATACGGTACGCCGGTTGCCCAAAGTCAATTCTTCTTTCTGCTGAAATTTACATAGCTCCCTCTGTGCAAGGCCGATGTTACCTGAAATGCAGAAGATGTCCGAACCGCAAGCCATAGCTACCTATTCTCCGATGACACCCGTTACGAAGATTCTACTCTCAATCCATGCAGCTGGCTCGATCCCATTCCGATGAAAGCCAACCTTTCTCCTTGGCAGGTCGTACCGATATGGCAAAAGGAGGAATGCTTGCGCTAACGTGTTACCAGCTAGCTCAGGTGAGTAAATTTCCGTCGAATCCATACTTGAGAAGTCTCTCATACAGTGACAGCAGCAAATAATGAGGAAATCTCTACAGTGGCCATCTCCCTATCAGGACGTTCTTTTCCGTCTACAGCGGATATCGTTATTGCATCCTCGATGTGATACTGGGTACGCGTCTTCCTCGTTACATATGTATTCCTTGGTTCATTAATAAAGGACAATACAGGTACTCTTACGTTTCTCTAGATGGTACTGGCACCGGGTCTACAGAAGACTATGCCTGGGAACGCTCAGTCCTCACCTGCCGGTGACACAGGCAAAGGGGTCTCGAAAGACCCGGAGGTCGTAAAAGGATTTCATTTCGTGAGCAGTGCGTTTGCTTCCAGGTTATGATTGTGTTAGTCTGAAACTATAACAGGTGAATTATCATCGTCTGCATCGAGGACTAAGGGTTGAGGACTCAGCGACGGATAACAAGGACTGATTATCCTGGTCGTGTTGACATGGTTCCGCGCCTTTTCGGGGTATGCTTTTCTTTCATTAGGCTGGGTCGTCCACTGAGCGGATTATCTAGGATTGTGGATTGTCGTTCGAGATGTGCCAGTGCAATGAGTGTCTTGAATACAGGGAAGGCAGGGGTCATCGTTAGGAGGAAACCAGGTACGCCTGTCGCGTAAAGAGGTGTGTCTTGCTTACCGAACTTTATCCAGAATTCCGTCGCTTCCGTCTTATTGGTAGAATGTGCAAATATACCCTGCATTGCGATCGGCTACGTGCATTTCTCCTGTCATTTCGGCAAGCGCAACATGAAGATAGGTGCGATCCAGGAGGCCTCATGTTGGTGTCGTGTCTTGAAGACTGGGTCCAAAGCAACGCTGCAGATGCAGACGGCTCAGCAGAAAGGTAGTAAGAAAACGAAACATGACACACCTGAGCTCCGAAGACTATCATATCCTCAAGACAACATTCCGACAGCGTATCCTTCACGTCTGATTGGGATGCCGAAGTGCCATCCTGCGCCGAACATGTAACTAGAAGATAAACGAGCGACGGGAGAATGTGCGCTCACGGTGCTCAGTTGACCGGCGTGGCAGGTTGGTTGAAACGGAGCTCGTGGTAAGGCATCCGGGGACGGGCAGTTATCGGAATCAACGAATGCCGACCGACAACCGAGTCGGGATTCCGGGATTCCGGGCCGCAAGCTAATTGTGTCCTTGCTCAGCCATATTTCCTAGCTAAGTTTTCGTCAACAATCGCTGTGTAATCAATGGTGTACCAATTTCTAGCCTGTAAGGTGTCCTAATTCTAACAGCTCTGTCTAGATCCCATATTACGGATGTGCTAGTGGCCCTTCAGCGCCGTACCAACGCTGTACCATACATACGTTTAGCCCCAATATTGACTCTTGCTGTTATCTGGGTTTTGAAGGCTCCTATATCTGAGTGTATTATCTCAATCATACAACGTTTGACGAATTACTATGGCGCGGTATAGATGTCCTCTCTTACTGATTTTTGCTCTTTCAAAGGATGAATATCTCGAGGATGGGACGGGACATCCTTCGGGTGAAGTCTTGGAGTATGTATTCCGGTCACTTCGTTTATTTACTATCGATGCTTACTACGAACAGTGCCCATGTTAGTTTTATAAGGACATACATAACTCTTTTAGTCCGCCGCGTATTCCTTGTCTTCCGGTATTATCCGACTTCGAAAAATAAACCGACCGCGGCACCAGTACTTTTCTTTCTCTCTTGTCTCCTTCACGATGATAAGAGACATGGTTTCTCTCGATGATGATGAAGGTCTGGATTGATAACCCACAACACGCTACGTTCTGGGCGAAGACACGAAGTACGCTTAAGACTACTTAGGACTATACCACTACTCATCGATATGCTATTATACTTTGCGACTCTATGGAAGGTATAACTCTAGGGTGTGTGGTACTGGTTGTCGACTGTCGACCATTTGTACTTCTCTTGGAGGATCCTCTGACGTCAGTCGCAGAAAAACTAGGAGCAAACATCGTACTGTACTTGGAGCTCGTTAACTGGGAAATGAACAGCTTGTAACTATAGATCTCGGAACAACGTCATACGAATAATACAGAAGGAGGAATGCACAGAAAATACGATGCTTTAAGGTCCTTTCGAGAGCCTGAACAACATTCTTCTGCTTCCCGACTCACCGCCATTGGACTCGACTTGCATCATGCAAGTATAGAACCCCCTGTTGGATCAGCATAGAGATATGTCACCGTATTCCCCAACTCCAAGGACCTCAAGCATCTCTCTTTCACTATCGTCCGCCATGCGAAACACTGACCGTTTCTTAAACTTGCCCTCCTGCATTTCTCCAATGACCCAATGGCTGTATCCTTTGCTGGCTAGGAGTGTATAAGAGCCATCCGGTATTGGATATCCATGGTCAGCGATGATCTCCAGAGGACAGGATCTCCTAGTTGAAGTGCCCTTTTCGATAATCAGCTCTCCCTGTCGAGGGCCACCTTTTGATTCTTTGGCAAGTCCCCGTACTTCGTCAGAGTTGATAACGTTGGAATAACACACGCAGTCGTCATCAGTTTCGTCCTTCCGAAAAATCCGTGCTCCTAATTCGTCATGACGCAGGGGCATTTCTGTCATCACCTGCTCCCATGAAGGTTGCCAATGTTTCTTTCCATTCCCAGGTTTAGGGTATAGGAAGAGCAGCTCCGCTCGAGACTTGAATGACATGGCATTGATGAGGGCCAGCCAAGCGTCTTCTTCCGATTGTGTGGTGTCATATGTCGGGATAGCCACTGTGTCAACAAGGTACGCTAAACCTGCGATTCTATCCCTAGGATTTGTTGACACCCGTTTCTGCATCTCTGACAGAAAGCCTACTGCTGAGTCCCAGTGAAAATTCCGTCGAGCCGGTTTGAGCCAAATCAAGCTGCAGAAATTACCATATAGCGTAGTCGAGCCGGATCAAGCGGCGTCATACAAGAAGGCTTTGAACTCCAAACCTTCGCCTCTTCCATTCGCACATCCAAGAATTATCAGAGTAGAATCTCTCTGAATCCGATGATTGACTGAAACGCGCCGAATATCGTGAGCCAAAATTGGCAACTTAAACTTAAACTTAAAGTCAACGGTTCCGTCCACGTGCATGTTATCCAGTGACGTGATTAACGCCTCTCTCTTTTCTACCACCACCATACCCATCGTGTTCGAGCTTGTTCGCCGTCCTCGTTGTCGCTCTACACCCAGATCCTGTATTATCTTGGGATGTGGCTTCGTACTTGCTTTCGTAGCCTCTTACTGTTGGTCTCTCACTGGGCAGCACATGCGAAGACCTGCAGATACGATGCTACAGACTGAAACTGCCGCGCAAGGTGGATATATGCGCCTTGTTTGGACACCCGCATTAGCAATACGTCCTCAGAAGACTGGTTTGAGCTGCAGGATATCTGGATATCTTTGAGGTACGTCTCATTGCGCTCTTGTATGTTTTCTTTTTTCATGTTTAGCATGTGTACAGTCGCTCCATAAGCCGTCTAGGCATCGCTATGGGTGTAGCCATGGTATGTTCTATTCCATATATGCGTGTATTTCTGAGCTCGCTAAGCCAAATCTTATACAGGTCTCGCTTGCCACCATTCCAGCTGGCTTCGACTTCGTGAGTAGCCCTTGAATCATCTTTTCCGTCATTGTAGACTGATTTAACATTTTCTAGTGCAGTCTATTTCGATACTTTTATCTTCACGTTGCGAAATGCGGTTGGGGTATCCGAGCAGGGCAGGGCTAGCCGTGGGCAGAACGGAAAGGGTTATGCTACTCAGCGTATGTAGTAGCGATGTGGTTCTATACATATTAATAGCAAAGAAATCGAGCCCTACGAAGCCTAACGGAACCCTATGGTAACGACATACCGAGCTCGAAACAGCTCGATTTGAGCTGGTAAACGGTTCACATTTCGAAGCCATGGCGAGCGGAATAGAGCCCCAGCGATCATTCCCCTGGGCTTGATTTGGCTCAGTGTGGCTCGACCGACTTTTCACTGGGGCTGAGTTATCACTCCGCAGCTGCTGCAACGACGCAAGTTGTTCGTCGAACCTCCTCCGTATGTCCGCTTCCATAGTGGCATCGCCCGTCACCCCGGCAATGACCATTTGTGCCTTGGTTTCCTGCAGCGTCCATGCTCGGTTGAACCAGCATCGATCACTCTCAAAGTACCCTAGCTGAATCTTCAGAGCTTCAGCGGCCGACCAAGCCCGTTGAAATAGCACCCCACAGGTGAAGTAGAATACACCCATCCGATCGTTGGCACATCCACCTTCCACTCCTCTGCACGCAGATGCTCCCCCCGTCCGCCGGCCTGCCTTAAACATAGGACGTCCAACCATACATACTCCGCTCTCATGCTCAACATTTCGATGCGGATCAGATTAAGGTCGGCATCGTTCGGCATGGGCACCGGCCATTCGCGTCCGTTTATAGGGGTCCACACATCCACGCGATCAACCTCATCCATCCATGCATGGGACATTGCTACCAACTTCTCATAGGTCACCCAGTACGGCAATACCCGATTAGCGTACAGATCCCAAATGCGCCGGGGAGGTGTCTTTGCCCTAGTGCCAGACCCATCACTTGAGAAGCTCCAATCATCAATCCCTTCTTCGCGCAACTTCTGGCCCCTCTCCTCCCGGGTACGTAATTTTTCATCGATGGTGGTGATATCGTACCAAAAGGGGCGCAAAAAACCAAAGACTGTGCCAAAGTCGTATCCTTGTGTAACATAGGAATCAAGAAGAGGTTGTAAGATTATTGGGTCTAGAGTGTATGACGTGCCCAGTACATTGTTGAGCTTCTCCAATAATCCGACGACGCCGATGTCGATGCAGGGAGTGTCGGCAAGACTCGATGATATGACAGGCTTCTTGCCAGTGTACGACCGTTGCTTTAGCACTGGAATACTTGATTCCTCGATTCCAGTCTCAGCGAAGGCGGAGAGAGTGACCTCCGGGAGCTTCTCATAATGCTCTACCAGCTTGTACTGAAATATGTTAACTATCGCCCTTCTGTTTACATTTTGGCGTGCTTACATATTCCTCGTACTCCAACATCGCTCGATAAGCAGATAGTTGTTCTGGTGCCCCTGTTCATGGAAGAATGAGGGTATGAAGCAAAAAAAGAGCGCAACAACACATACAAAACATCATGGCATCCCCAGATACATCCACCATCCAAGGCGGGCGATGAATTTTCGGTTCTATTGGCATGGTGGTAAGAAGCAAGGATATAGAATGGGAATCACGTTCTGACCGCGCTTAAAAAGCATCACCCGACGCCAGGAGCCGTAATGCCAAATGATAAACATCTCAGGGCAATAAGCCACATAGCCGCTCACTCGAGAATAACCTTCCTCGTGAGTTCAATCTAGGCAGTTACACCTTCAGTGCACAGGCTAACACGTATTTCAATACCTTTATATCGAGTAGATTTGATACTGAAAAATCGCGAGATGTGGATTCTTCCAAAATTATATATGTCTGTTAGGCGTGCGAAACAAGGTTGTCGTACATTTAGGACTCTGACATGCGTACATCGGGACCACAGCCTACAATTCTTTTGTCCCAGTATATTGATAGGCGCCGTCTGAATCCACAATTGGGAGCCAGACCAACTTTCAGATTTTAACTCTAGAAAGTCGCCGTCATACCTTGCACGGAAATTCAGACAGAAATTTCCGACGCCCAGTAATACCGAAGACAGGAAGAATGTACATGGCAGGCAGTTCCGCATGCAAGTAGCGCCCAAAATGCCTTCTTCGTTATCAATTGCGCCATATGGACTGGTTAGTACCAAAGTGGAACTTTGCAAGGCGCCTATTCTGTCTCGGTTGAGCTCTCTTATTCGAATTGGTGCCGATAGCTCATCCGAGGCGAGCACCCACTTCTTGTGAACCCGAAGCTCTAGCACGTTTAAGTACTGCACCGAGAGGTGGGATATCCAACAAGAAAGGACCGAGGTTGAACGTTGAAGGACGGCGTGATCACTATTATGACTGGCTAGCTGAATTCTGGATCAATGGAGGTAATCCACACAATCGTGATCGGGGAGGAGTGCCGGTTCAGACCCAGGTTTGAGGCTTCCAGTGCTGCTGATGGAGTGAGCAACGGCGAGGGTTTACAAGATCATAGACCCAGCCCTACGTTTCCATACGTAACTGCATCTGCGAGTTCAGGACATATAACCCTATCGAAGAGCAGATACAGACCTCATATTCCCCTGGATTTATAGAGAAATGCACAAGCGCGGGATCTGTCAATGAGTGACCTGTAAAGAGCAATCGTTGAGATAGTGGAATGTCGATATCAGGGGACAAAGAAAGGTAAGATAAGGGACACGGCATACTCTGACGACAACGAGGCTCGATAGGTTCTTCTCACCGCAAGTCCAGAAGATCTTTATCAAGGCGCGGGGACTATCGATGCTGCGCCAACTGTAAACACATGGCAGATTGTGAAATCACGTTCTAGATTTGAATCCGAACCTACCAGAATTGAGATCCAAGCTATTAGTTAAGCAGAGGAGATGACATGGAAGAAAAAGCTGCGAAGAAGGGATGTGGGAATGCCGTGGCCTCCACTAGCACAGATCGCAGTGCGCAAATGATTTCTTCTCATATCGCATCGCATCACATACATGGCCTGCGAATTGCTATCGAGTTCGGCACAAAAGAGGTCTGATATTTGAGATTTGTAAACTATCAAAGAGGTAGGCGGATTGAAAACGTACAGTGGACCCGTCCTCAGCCATCGTGTCATAATAGTCCACACTACTTTCCATGATCTTACACGCATGACTCGCACCATACCAGGCTCTCCTCCTCCGAGCCGTCGTGGAATGGATGCTTATCAGGGATCGAAAGGCGATCGGCGAGCGCTACGAAATCGATGGAAACGGAAACTGACTAATGTGAAATTCTTGCAGTTAGCCCGGCTCAGGAGATTTAACAACGCTGAAGGAGGGCACGGTGAATTCTGCGTTCGCGTTTGCGTGTGCGAACTTGACAAAGATGCGTTCGTGCGTAATAATACTTCTATGTACTTTAGCTATAAAATAGACAGAATGTAACAGTATAACGTACTCGTAAAAGATCTCAGCACCGTACTTTGATGCCAACAAGGTCTCATCCCATAGAAGGACACTCTCCCCGACTAAGTGTGAACCCACCTGATCACTCATGTGGATATTCCCTCCGGAAAACATGTCTTGAGGGCTTCCAGGGATATTGGACTATGTTAGAGGTATGAAAATAGTATGAGAAATATAAACAGATCGGAGGAAAGAGAACCAGTTCAAGGGGTCTCAGCTAAATCTTGGTAGGTTTCCGCAAATTATAGTGAGATATATATAGCAGAAATCCATTGGAGAATCTCTCTTAAGCTTGGAGAATGTAGCCGAGCACATATGAAGTGCAACGGCAGAAGCTACGACAGTTCAACTCGAGTTCAACGCAGCCTAACGCAAACGTGACATGCCGTCACAACCATCGTCACATTTGCGTTCTCGTTTGCGTTTTGTCTCGAACGCATGCGTTACTTTGGGCAACGCATGCGTTTATTACAACGACGCTCGCGTTCGATTTATTAACGCATGCGTGACTTATTTTTGAGTTGCGTAAGTGAGTTGCGTCGATTCGAGAGGTGCACACGAGTTTTTCGGTTTACCAAAAGTCCAAAAAATGCAAGGGTTCACAACTATTTCAACGCGAAATGATACTGAAGTAGGAGGATTATATTCTAAGATATGTAACAATTAAAATCCATGCCTTTATGGCTTTCCAAGAGAGTCTCACACTGTTCTAAGTCATAGAAACCTGCCAATACATGTCCAGGAAATACATCAAAAGTAGGTAAGTGCGCCATGTAAATACACATGATAGTATTATTCTTGAAGGTAGAGTAGCCATTAGCAGGTAACGCATGTGAACGCATCGAAGGAACGCAAACGCATCCGAGTTGAACGCATTCAAACGCAGTTGAACGCATGCACGCAAGGGTCGAACGCAGAATTCTCTTCGCCCCGCTGAAGGACATTATCGGTTTCTTGCAGAGGCTTTAGGTAGATCAGTTTTGTTCTTGATTGCCAGGATAGTGCAATATTATGGGAAATGACGAGGTAAACGCGTGGTTAGGGGAAGCCCGAGAAAGGATCAGTACCGTCGGAGGATTGGGATTGTAGAAGTGGGTACTGGCGCAGGGCCGCACTTGCCCAGGAAAGGATGTTCTGGCCGGTCTGTTTATGGAATTGTTAGCAAGAGCAACACGACTGAGAGCAGCGAGTCATTGAAAAGAATAAATATTCAGATGTGCGGTGTTATTCTCGTCTCTTTGCGTGCAATCCAGGGGGCTGCATAATGGTGTCTTGACGACTGATTCCTGGCAACACTGCAGCTGCAGGCGACTGAACGGAAATGTGGTAAACAAACAATACATGACATACCTAAGCGCCCAAGACTATCTTCTTAAGATAACATTCCAACGGTGTATCCAAGTTGACGTCCGTTGGAAGGACAAGTTCGCTATAGTGTCGGCCTGTGCCGAACATGTAATTAGATGATAAGCGAGCTACGATAAAACGCAAGCTCACGGTACTCATTTGACTGACACTGGTTTACTCGAATGATGAATCGGACCTTGTAGTAAGGCAAGAAAGGCATCAGCACAAATCCGGGAGCTATCAACGTGAATCCGGCATCCCGGACCGCACACTAATCGCTTCCGGACTGTCATCAAACTGCTGGCTCTTTCTTACGCGATGATAATCCAGCTCATGGCATTTTCGATTCTGGGATTATTTTCTCCGTCCTATATTCTTTCTCCCTTTCCGATAAAGTCTTTCATAGCAGCTTCAGCAACGGTCGCTATCTAATCAATGGTACGCCCATTTCGAGCACGAAAAGCGTTCTCATTCCAACTACGCTTTCTAGTTCACATATTCCAGATGTGCTAGTGGATCTTCAACACCATACCGAACCTACCGATGCTTTACCATAATTTCAGCATGAATATTGAATTATACTGCTATCTCGCTACAGAAGGCGCCGATATCTGATCGTCATAGAACGTTTGAGGAAGGAATTGCTAACACGTGGTGCGAATGTCCTCTCACTTTCTGCTACCGATATACTAACGTGTAGCTCTCTCAGATGATGAATACCTCGAGGTAGACACCAAGGAGAGGGACGTCGTTCTGAACGTCGAGTAAAGTCTCAAATTCTACAACACGGAATTATCGGGGAACGTAAAATATTCAAGGTATGTCTTCTGATAACTTTGATTATTTACCATTGATGCTGACTACGAACAGTTCTCACATTAGTTTTATACTGCCATACATAATCCTTTCTTTCCCAGACACATGTTTCTCGTCTTCCGGTATTATTCGACTACCAACCTCTGGACACTCTTGTTTCTCACTCTTTCCCCAGACAGTGGTAAGAATCATGGTTTCTCTTCCGTATACTATCTCAATACAATGGTGGACAGATCGTGCTGAAGTCCGCTTGCTGTTAATAGCTCACCGATATATCAATGTGGACCTTACTGTTCATCATCGTCTCCAGACCCATCTTGACGTTGCGGCGTATGCATTTGGAACTTCGAAAGGTGCCCCAGGAGATGGATCGAAGAAGCTCGAAAGGGATCAGAAGTGAGCTTGAAGAAGCGCTTGCTCCTGCCGGCGACCCTTCTGCTCCTTTGATCCCATTGCCTAAGTTCAAATTACCGGAATAGCCTCACAGCGACATCATTTACCAGGGGCAAAGAAGCGACGAAGTCGACTGCGCATTTCTACGCCACGCTTCTATCACTGCGTAATGATGAATACGATGGATAGATAACCGATAACCTAGTACCTTTCATCGCATCTCCTCTGTATCAGGATATTAATATTTCCTTGAAGCAGGAAGCATAGCCCGTCTGGCTCGTTCTGTTTCCCAGGTACCTATTCCTGTCATCCCCGTTGGCCATCTTTTGTCTTGGCTCTTGGGGCTATTCTTTTTCTGTCTTCTCCCGCAGTTGTGGGAACGTCGTTACGCCTTCACACCAATGTGTGCACCGTGTTGTTTACACAATTAACTGGCATTTATCTGAAAAGCCTGGTTCCCTCGTAGAGGAAGTCAAGCCCCGCAATCGAGTAGGAAATTGTTAGAAATGGAACACCAAAAAACGGCGTCTTGATCGCAGGCAGTGGGCAGTGCTGTCGATCTGTACGTTCATCTCACGCTCCTATTTTGGGTGGTGATCTAAGTGTCATTAAATTTACCGCTACTTCGCTTTCATTTCGTTAATGATTCTGACTGCCCTGGTAGATATCGTCTCATCTTCTCAGTCATTAGGAAAGAGCCTCCTTGGCACAAACGCCACATCAATCAGTTCGGCTTTTCCGTGGCACAGATTTAAACCGATACAAGTGCGACTTGGTCTTCCAGCATCTTTCACCGACCCCAGCACTGGCTTTCAGTAACTTCGTCGGAAAAGTGCTCTCCGTTCTAGGTTTCGTCTTGTATCTATCCAGACAAGTAAGCGGTATCTTCCGTAGCGATCACACACTTAACCGACCTTCAATTTTGATAGCCTGTTCTCCCGGTCTGTAGCACCTCCCGTACTTGCGTTACACCTTTCCGAGTCAATCACATCTATCTCCCTCCAGTCAGAATTTTTACCTGCGTTCCTCCGTCATCTTGACTTGGCCATTGGGCGCAAACAAATCAAGCGCATTCTTCCAAGCCTTTCTGATCCTGCTCGTTGCTTAGCCCCGAATAAAAATAGCTTTTGCCACACATAGTTGAATCACGCCAGCTTGAGAGTACGCGAAATTTTATTGACGGCCCCGTTTGACGATCAAATTATTGCAGCTCGACAGCAGCGCGAGAAGACTAGGAGCGGCGAGGGGGAACTGATACAAAAATGGTGGCTGAGAACGTGACGGGCAGTGGTTCAGCATTGTAGAAACTAAATATGAGTATTACAGTTGCCATCACGCTCAGACGACGCGTCGTTCAGCACCATCGTCGCGTCAATGAGTGCGTAGTCCTAAGAGGACCGATGGTGGCTGTGCAATTCACGGCCGCCAAGCCGGTGCCGGCGGCAAATATCCACAATCTTTTCTTCCAACGGCCACCATGTCGCCCGTCTCCCGTCCTCGACTCACGAGCTACCACTTCAATTCACGATACTCCTCTCCACCTTATAATCGTGGTCCATCCTGAGAGGGAGGAGCCTGTCTATTCGCGCTGCCCAAGATGAAGATGGTCGCTGACCCAAGGTACGGACGCAAAATTATCTTGCTTATCAACGGTCTAACCCTAGAGGTTGAAGGTACGTTCGCAAATCGGCTAAGTTGATTCTTGAACTGAGTGAATGTTGCTAGGTGAATACCAATAACGCGAGTCGCATCTGGTAGAATCTGGTGAAAGGATGTATACGAGAGCAAGCAGTACGTGGTATGTCGGACGTCCCAGATTTTTTTTTTCTGCTTTCAACTGATATTCATACAGCGTTTTATATCACGGTCAGACCTTTACCTTGAGCTGAAACGCAGAGGACATGTGAACGGCCAATTATGACCGCGCAAGCCACAAGCTACAAAGATTCTGCTCCCAATCCATGCAGCTAGGCTCGAGTGCATTCTGCTGGAAGGTACCTATTATCTGTGCCAGCCCTACTCAGAAAAATGGGAAAAGACCATGAATGGCCTGCTAGATAGCTCGGGTGAGTGAATTTCTGTACTTGAAAAGTCTCTCTCTCACAAGGTAGTAGAAGTTAATAACGCGGATGGCTTCGTAGCAACGACTTTGAGTCAGTACGCTGGTATCTGTCTATAACAGATATTGTATTCCCGGTCTCGATGCGATATCCGGTACGCATCTTTTTCGTTGTATCTGTATTCTTTGACTCATTTATGAAGGACAATACAGATTATCCTACGTTTCTCGATTGTATGACACCAGGCCTACAGAAGGCTATCACTGGGAACGCTCAGTCCCACCTGCCGGTGACGAAAAGGTAAAGGGTTTCAAATGCCCCGGAGGTTGTAAAAAGATTTCACTTTGTCGTCAGTACACCCCGCCTCATTAATCGTGCTATTCTGGAATGTCATAGGTGAATTATTATTGTCTTCATCGAGGCCTGAAGTTTCGTTGCGATGGATAACAAGGGCTGGCAGCGTTCTCACAGCTATGCGCATTTTCAAGGTATGTCTTTGTTTCAATATGCTGGGATGTTCGCTGGGAGGTTTATCTAGGATCATGGATCCGCTCTTTGCGCCGTGCCACCATAACCACGGCAGCCGAGACATCGAAGATAGATAGCGAGAGGTATTCAGTTGCCTTATGCTAACTAGCCTCGGTGAGGGAGTTTCCGATGAATCGTCTTTGTAAACTATCTCATAGCGGAAATCAGCAATAATTGTCGCGGCCAGCTTCAGAAGATGCCATGAGACCAGTTGCAATTGTCATTGGCGTACGGTGGCCAGTATAAGAAGTACGTGTATTACTGGTCTTGGGTTAGTTTACAGAGGATTGTACGGATGTCTCCTCGCTTGGGGTTGATATAGCTTCCATCACCATTCTTTGTATCCATGCATTCTGAGAACTATTACGTGCAATGAAATTTAACATTGGTCTGTTTTGCCACCGTTCCAGTGATTGACTATTGTTGCAGATGCTTTAATGAAAGTTCAACATTATAGTTATTCATCCTCCTTATATGACGCGTCTTTCTGCGTCATCGTCGCGTCAATGAGCGCGTAGTCCTAATGAGAGCTGACGGTGGCTGTGCAACTCACGAGGGCCGGTGCCGGCCAAGGACAAACATTCACAATCTTTCCATTCAACGGCCACCATCTCGCTCTTTTCGCTTCTTCAACCCACAACCTACCCTTCCAATTCACGCTTCTCGACCTTGTCCTTGTGGACCGTCTTGAATGGGAGGAGCCGGGATATTCGCGTTGCCTGGGATGAAAGAGGCTGGGAAGAGGCTGGCGAGTCAGATAGCGATGCGGGATGATACTGTTCGTTGACGCCTGATTTTGGAAGGAAGGCCCGAGGTATGGTTTGCCATTCAGCTGTACTGAGCCTCGAACTGAATGATTTCCCTTAGGTGCATACCAATAACGCGAGTTGCTCGAGCGCAATCTGGTGAAAAGATGGAAGGATTTATAGGTCCAAACAGGTTGTGGTACGCCCTTCATCCAAGGTTAATTCTTCTGCTTACTGAGCTCGTATAGCGTTCTCCACATGAGGCCGATTGTTGTGCCTTATAGGCAGAGGATGTCGGCGCCGCCTACGACTACTATGTGATGCCACATGTTAAGAAGATTCTGCTCCGATTTCCATGCCGCTACGCTCGAATGGAAGGCGCCTGCTCTTTGTGCCAGCCTGTACTGAGAACGTTGACCAATGTGCTGCTAACTAGCTCGGGTGCGTGAACTTTCATCGAATCCTACTCGAAGAGTCCCTCACACGGTAATAGTAGCAAATAATGTTCACAGCAACGGCATCCTGTAACTATGCCAGTGTCCATCGCTATTCCGACCTCGATGTGATATGCAATACGCGTCATTCCTGTATTCTTTCGTTAGGACAATCCAGGCATCACCGCAGGTGCTATTACTGTTGGCTGTTTGTTCCACGAATGAAGCGTTTCTGCGACCTCACCAAACGACGGTTTTCAAGTGCCGCACCAAGCGACATAGGGAACTTCCGAGGTGAGTCTTCGAGGTGTCCGTTTTTCTCTCAATACCGATGTTCTTGTGTAGTAACGGTTTAGCCGCCTGTGTATAGCCTCTTGCGGTTCCGGCATCAATTTCCATCATCCTCTACGTATCATGGAAACCCAAGTTTCTCTAATGATTGCCATCAACGAAGGATGCTTCGATAATTGCCGCATACACCCAGCTGGACGCCCTTACGCCTGTGCGATATCCCATTACGCCAGGAAGCATATTCCGAAGAGAGATGTAGGTTCTCGTGACAGCAATACTACTGCGTATGTCCGTCCGTTCCACTCATTCCCGTAAATCTTTCTAATGCCACTCTGGCGATCAATAGATTACCGGAACGCGCTCCGTTTCATTTAAGTCACAAATCTGATTCCCCTCCAGCCTGCGGATCTATACTTGCCTTGAAGTGTTCGTTCCGACTTGATTCATCTGCAACGTGCCGCAGAAAAACTCATTCTCCCCAGCCTGCAGTGATATTATTGTCAGAGAGCAGCAATCCTTTCTCAGAAAATGCGGGCCCTGAAGAACATCATAGCGTTTATTAGCTCCCGAAGCAAGCTTCTGTGCGTGGGTGTGAGAGAGCACTGAATGTGGTGCCTATATGCGCTCTGTCTTGTCACTGATCATCTTCGATAGGTAATGCCCGTGTTTCCCTTCATCAAGCGTCGAAGACGGCCCATTTTTCACTTCACCTCCCCTCGATCCCAATGTACAGGATATGGGATATCACAGGTACTTACTCCCACCCCTCGTGCGATCCTTACACGAATCTGACTTTCACAGTACTCCGAAGCGAGGGCCTTCATGCAGTTCGGTGAGAGAACCCCTGGAGGCCTATCGTTAACATCGAGGATGGGCGTTCGTCCAACATACATGAAGTACGGTTCGGGCCCGATGGGCAGAATCCTGACCAGAAGGCGTCGAGGTTCCGATTGTAAGCGACCTTTCTTTGAACATGACTTGACGTTGACTGTCATTAGATATGAGGAAAATTCGCCTGTGATTATGATCAAGGCGTGGTATTGACCCATGGCGAGGAAGAGCAAGAAGAAATTATTTGGAAGTGCTACGTACTCGCTGGTCGAGCTTGATGCTCAGATACATAGGACGTGCTATCACACTTTAACCACTCATTCCTAATCACACAACTTTAGAAATCGATGTCCCTCGTGTCCCTCAACGTTGTTGGAATTACTGTGGCTGTACGAGCCGTCGGAATCAACCGGCTCCGAACCCGTTACGTACCGTACCCGCAGTTTTCTTTTCTTTACCGTTTACCACCATGTCGACATACTAGGTATAAACGAGTTGCTCATTTTCGTTCCCTCCCGTGCTCGAATCTCAACAAACGTAACAACATGAACACGAACACATCCTCATCACCTATCGTATTCCTGGCAAAATCTATTCCAGGACCCCCTTTGTTCAATGAACCCGGTTCCTAAATAAGAATGATCTATTCCTGTCCGGCGCCTGTCCATCATCGACATCCCACATGCTTTCTTTCTCCCCATCCCTAACCCTATCCTCCCACAGCTTTAACACCGCCGTCTTCACCATCACCCTCGATTCCCAATTCGCTGTGTCCTCCCCCGCCCGACTGACTGTGGCCGCCTGTGCCACAACCTCAGACCTCGCCTTGTCTGCGACATCTCGTTCATCATCCGATACCAGTTCGGCCTTACCTCCACGCTCACGCAGAGGTCCCTCGACCTCTTCGGGACATACTTCTTCTTTGTGTTCTCGGCAAGGATACCGATGATTTGCCTGATGGTGTCTTTGGTGTGGTTGTTGGTGTTTTTGGGGATTATGGCGTGTGTGGTTAGTGTGGATGTGGTGCTGTTGGTGGGGGTGTTTATTGGGCTGGGGATGTGTTATGGATATCGGGGTCTTTTCCGAACTGAGCATGAGTCAACATATGCCTGCTCTCGGCCTTCTCGGCCTTGACCTCGGCCTACCGGTATTTTCTCTATTCTTCTTGCTGATACTAGAATACTACGGAACATTGTATAATTATAATGACTCAATTCCTTACTAGTAGCATATAAATATTGTCTTTACCATTGTATTAGAATCTTAAGCTACTTTTACTCATCTTCGAAGTCCACTTAACTGTGTGAACTAAGCATCTCTGATCGGTTACGCCAAGCGCTTGCCAATCAATTGCTTCCCGACTACGCCTAGCGCTTTTCGGAAACCCTGTTAGTTACGCCTAGCGCTTGCTGACGCCCCGTTAACTACGCCTAGCGCTTGTTAGCACCCTTACGGATCCCTCTTGGTGGTTGGAACTCAGCTTACGGATATCCTCGCTCACGACTTGGGTTTTACTCGAGTACTCATTACTTTGTGTATTAGCTCGAAATACCTTGGTTCTTAACAGGAGGACGGCGGAGATGTGGGTATGGGTGGGGTGTTAGTGCGCGAGGAGGATAGGGTTGTTTCGCATAGTATATACTGCATCCTTTCCTGTAGATAAGTAATTTATAGAGATGTATCTAATACAAGCAGATCCCGGAATACACACATTTTTTGCTTTCTATGACGGATGTTATTGTGCGACTGCCATCGAGAGTAAGCAGGATACATGCGCCAAATTTCAAATTTCACCGCTACCAAGCTAGATAGTAGTTTGTTGTACAAGTCGTTGACACTCGGCACTACCTGGAGACTCCATCATGTTCGTGCATGAATGTTCCATCGTTGACGGGTTTTCGAGGGTCTTAGAGCAAGTGTCGGGTTCAAATCGCCGTCAGGATCTCGGTCCTTCGAACAGCACTATGATGAGCATTGGATGAGTTGATCTGGAAACCAGTGCCAATCTCCGACATCCGTTCTGCTGTTGCCGTAGACAGCCTTGCGTGAAGCGAACAACTTTCATCATTGACGTTCTTGTCAGGAAATCAATGAAGCACTGTCGAAAATAAGCAGACTAAGGAATCTGTTCATTCGGCTCCTTTGAATGTGTCGAAATCACATCTGTTTCAATCCTTCATTGCATTTTGACATGCCGAAGTTAGCACCTGCCAAGAGTGATGTTCTTTCAATTCCCAACATCCTGATTGGATCGATATGGTGAAACCCCTGGAATGATGATCCACATCAAATGCTGTGGTCCAGGTATGCATGTGTTATAAACGGGCATACAGCTTTCTCTCCTCTCGCTTAACAACCACCATCCATTTCTCCACGGTACTTCCCTTTCACTGTGACCCGTTCATTGCATTCCTTGTATTTGAATCTTTCCATATCACTTATTCATTCAGCTAACGTTCGACAAAGGATCTCACATTCTCAAGCTCGTGAAAGTAATCATCTGCCTGACGTTTTGGTATTTATCTTTAACATATTTGCCACTCAACAACCTAACTTATATGCAGAACTCGAGTAGCGACAACAAATTTCTCGGGCTCTGTTCCTTCCGTCAATATAGAAAAGGTTCGTCCTGATTTTTCACATGTCGTCTTCCAGCGTAATGCCTCACAAAGTCCTTCGAAGCATTGCCATGAACCGAATTTTTATGCCCATTCCTTTTCTCCTTTTCACCTCTCATGCCTATGGAGAACCTATATCTCCCGAGGATGACCAAGGCATGCCTGCATCTTCGAAAGATCAACGAACAGTTTTGAATATCATATGGAGCTGTCTCGCAACAATATTCGCATGTACTTGGCTTGCCATACACCCGAACATCCCAGGTCGTAACATCACGACTAAGGGAGCAATTTACTGCGCTATTGAACGCATGAGACTTATGATTGCTGCAATTTTTGCACCGGAGGTGATTGTTGCATGGGCTACAGCACAGTTTATGGTTGCTTGGAAGGTGCGTCACGGTGGGTATTTCATATATTCAGAAGCTGTCCAGATTTACAGTGGAGATCAACAGGAGAGAAAATCTCTATTGCATCAGTGATCCATGCTTGGAGAGAGAAATCAGATGAATCAAAGCCAACACTTGCTCATGGATTTTTTCTCAGCATGGGGGGGTTCTACTACACCCATATGCCGGAATCAGTCTACGAAGACTTGTTGAATCGTACCACGGATTCGGACTCTCTACTCCTATCCGACTGCAGTTGGGAAACTGAGAATATCAGAGGAGTCATTGTCGGTCTCCGCCAGCTCAAATCCCACCCAGGGCTGGCCAAGACCCTGGTAACAATCAGTGCAGAGACCATAGAGGACAAAAGCAAAGGCGACGCACTTTCAAAAACTATATCTATCCTCCAAATATCCTGGTTCATCGTGCAATGCATCGCTCGAGGCGTTCAGGGTCTCCCGATCACGCTCCTTGAAATGGCAGCACTTGCATTTGCTTGCCTCAGTATCATGACTTACTGCTTGTGGTGGCATAAACCACTCAATGTTAGTTATCATATATCTTTGGATCCGTTGAACTCAAGTGAACTCATGCGAACATTGGCAACAAAAAGTCATAAAAAATCTGCTTCCCCAATGGCTTCCTCGGGCGATTATTCAATAGGTGGGGTAATAAATGCATTGACATGGGTTTGCTGGGTGGTTGCAGATTTTTTCTTTTTCTTAGAGGAAGAAGCACATCGCAACATTGGAGAAGGCGCCTGTCCACTTTCCTCAGGTACCTCCAATGATAGCCCGATACGCCTTATGGTCGGGATTTGTGTAGGATCATTATTCGGGGCCTTCCATTGCATGGCTTGGTCATCCTACTTTCCATCCCACACCGAAATGGTACTGTGGCGATTTTCGTCTGTGGCAGTCATGATTGGAGTCCTAACAGCCGTTTCTGCTTTCATTGTCCGGGGGTCTTGTCCCAAGTGGATGTTGAAGCTACGACGTCTACTTCCATATTGGTGGATGGACTCTTCTATCTGGGGGACCGTTTGGAAGCCCTGTTCGTTTTCATTATCAGCTGTTGGCGGCATCATATACATCGTTGGGCGGATTATACTGATCGTCCTCGCTTTTACACAGCTACGTTCACTACCACAGCTAGCCTTTCATACAGTACAATGGACGAATTACATACCTCACATATAGTTTCGGTTACTTTGCACTTTCCATATTCCACGTCCTGATGATTTCCTTCGTTATAAAGTAGTATTTAAATCTCCTCCTTTGGATCCTCCTGCTTTATTTAGGTAGTGCATATTCTATCTTGACGCCGGTAACGACGTTGTTATAGATTCCTCATCTCCGGCATTCACGACTTTCGGTTATTCAACGGCCGAGCTTACCTCTCCGGGTAGTACCAGCTCCCGTTCAATTTTCCATAAGCCTTCCAATCAACCGGACCAAGAGCAATCCTTTATTCAACTCCGAGACGGACGTCTTCCACGTGCAGTATGCGTGGGTTCAGTAATAGAGAGTGGACAAACTTCCTGTCAAAGTTGTGGTGCGGAAAAGAAGGTTTAGTGATGCGACTTGGTGCCTCCGTAGTTGCGAGACCCTAGTACAATGTACCAATAGCGTATCCATGCTTCGCATATCCTGTCGACTGGCACACTGGCAGAAGCAGGTACCACGGAAACGTCAGGTGCGTACAATGATGAGAATGCGTCAAACTTCGTAGAAAGGCGATGAAAACTTCTCCGTCCATGCCAGCGCCGCTGAAGTACGCGTACAGAATCGCAGTGAAAGCTGTCAACCCCAAGGGAAGCAGCACCTATGAAATCCTCCGTAAATGACAGACGACTCCTGTACTTGTTATACTGACCATAGTACACCAATGACAATTCAGATAGTGTAACGACGTCTTCTCAAACTGGCCGCAATATTGATTACTGTTCTCCGTTATGATATGATTCAAATCAGAGATTCATCGAAAGTTCACTCACAAGTGCAAACGCATAGCCCTCTATGCCTATTTTCGTTGTAGAAGACGAGATACTCGCAGATGATGATAGATTTGCACACGAGGTACTGGGAAAGGGAGTGAATGAACAGGTTCTGCATCCTCCACCGCAGTCGCATTATAAGTAACATCTAGAATGCGAAAATGCGGGTACTACGGAATACGTTGTACCAGAGAAATCTCGTACTATTGAGGCTGGATGGCAGCACGAGAAAACGAGGAGCAGCAGCTCAGAGGGGGAAGTAAAAACAATGACAGCCAAGAAAGGGTCTGTCCCCATGAATACATGATGGGTGTGTTGGGATTTGGCAATCTGGCATCATGCCGAAGTTGCTTATTAAGGTAGAAGTCTTAGGAAAAGCATGGAATATTCTAGTAAAAGTACATTTAGTATAAAAGTAGGTACTTTAGGGTAGATCCTCATGCGTTTGCAGAGCTCAGCCAAGCGCAGTACTATTGGCTTGCTACGGCGCATGTGACACTGGGAACGAACCGATACCCCGTTTTCCAACAGGGTGGAAGTTCAGTATCGCGGCAGGTGCTTAAATGAAATATGTATAGTTCAGTTAGTCTTCACGTTTAAATGACACGTCATTCACCTTCGTCGTCATGTCAATGAGCGCGTAGTCGATTCACCCCATAGTGGCTGTGCAACTCAGAAGGGCCGCCGGGCCGGTGCCGGCCAAGGAAAAACATCCACAATCTTTTCATTCAACGGCCACCGTGTCGCGCGTCTCCCGTCCTCGACTCACGATCCGCCCCTCCAATTTATGACAATCTTATCGGCTCTTGTAATCGTGGCCCATTTTGAGTGGAAAGAGCTTGGTTATTCGCATGGACTGGGACGATGGATGGTGGGAAGGGACACAACTCAGGACTGAAGGCTGGCGACCATGTCAGATAGCGACGGAGAGTTGTGCTGCTCCTCGGTGCTTTACCGTGGGAAGGATCAATGTACGACTTGCCATTCGATTATGCTGAGCCTCGAACTGAGGAATTTCCTTTAGGTGTATACCGATTCAGTGGATCACTCTGGTAGAAGGATGCATACAGGTTCAAGAATGATGTGGTATGGCCGTCACACCAAGGTCGGAATTCTCCTGTTTACTGGACTTGTATAGTGTTCTCCGTGCAAGGCCGGCAAACACAGAAGATGTGTGAGCCACGAATTATGACTGCTCATGACCATTCTGTGATGCCACAAGCTACGAAGGTTCTGCTCACAATCCATGCTGCTACGCTCTACCGCATTCCTCTGGAAGGCAGGAAAAGGCGATTAATGTTCTGCTAGCTAGCTCGGGTGAATGGGTTTCCGTGCTTGGAAAGTCTCTCTCACAAGGTAATATAGTCAATAAATCTGTCAGCTTCTTACTAACGACTTCCCTTCAGCCTCGATTTGATTTCCGGTACGCGTCTTTTTCGTTATATCTCTTTTATCCGTATTCTTTGGCTTATTTACGAAGGACAATGCAGGTGATCTCACGATTATACTGGCCCTAGATCTACGTAAGACTACGCCTGGGAATGCTCAGTCCTCACCCGCCAGTCACACAAAGGTGAACGTCCCGGAGGTCATGCAAGGATTTCATTTTGTCGCCGATACGCCCCTGCATCCTTGACCACGCTATTTTGAAATGTCACAGCGACTAACCATCGTCCACATCGAAGCTTAAAGTTATATTGGGATAACTATCGAGGACCGAGTATCATCGTGGCAATCTCATGGCTATGCGCCCTTCCCAGGTATGGCTTTCTTCCAATATCCTGGGTCGTCCACTGAACGCTTTATCCAGAACCTTGGATCTTTTCTCAAGATCTACCACAATTGTGAGTGGCTTGAATGCGGAAAAAGGAGCAGCCATCATTAGATGGAAATGAGGTACGCCCATTGTTGAGATTCGAGCACGGGAGGGAACGAAAATGAGCAACTCGTTTATACCTAGTATGTCGACATGGTGGTAAACGGTAAAGAAAAGAAAACTGCGGGTACGGTACGTAACGGGTTCGGAGCCGGTTGATTCCGACGGCTCGTACAGCCACAGTAATTCCAACACCCATTGTTCAAGAAAACGTCTCGCCATCACTGAATTTCTCATCAGCAGAATCAGACTGTACATTGCGATCAGCTACGGCAAGTCTTCCCGTCATCCTGCTCGCTCCTCGATATTCATTGTATCTGCAGCTGCAACTATCTCGTCCTCTACAGTGAAGATAAGCATAGAGGGCTATGCGCGCGCGCTGCAGAGGAAGTTTTCGACGAACTTCTGATTTAAGTCATCTCACAACGCAAAACAGCTATCGTCGCAGGAGGATGCCGTAACATCAGGCGAATTGTCGTTTGCGTACCACGGACAGTATAATATTACAAGTACGTGTATTACGGCATTGTGGGGGTCTTCTGTCCATTTACGAAGATTGTCTAGGTGCTCCTTGGTTGGGGTTAATAACTTTCACCGCGGTTCAGTACGCACACGTTAGGATTGCTGCTACTGCAGCGGACGAAGATTGTATAGAAGCTCATTGCCCTGCCACGTTCCGTGGTACCGGCTTCTGCGCAAAAGCCGAAGGGACACGCATGATGGTACAGTATTTCAGTTTGCTTTTAGTATTATCTGCCGAACTCACACGCTACTTCACTCCAGCTAAGTCGCGGGTATCACGGATAGGGAAGAATGCATCTACTGGCAAGACAGACCACTGAAGGGGTACGTTACTCCTGTTAACATGCTCGTCTCCGTCGTTCACCTTGCATTCTGTGAAGGAATCCTTGCTGCTTGCAAGCACGTACACCAGCTTCTCGCACTTACGGACCCCCAAGTCCTTCATCTGGACCCATGAATGTAGATCGGCAACTACTACCCAATCTCACAGAGATGGAGACAAATTCTCCTCCCCCTTTCTCGAGCTCGAATATATACCCCTACAGGAATGTCTTTCCCCTTCATACACAAAAAGCGAACGTTTCGACCGGAACCTGCACTCAATGCGACCAGACAACGATCGACCATATCAAGACTACTGGTCGAATATTTTCTGCACAGGGAGCCGGACGTATAATTAGGTGTCGAGTCAAGACCATCGCATGAGCATTCTTTCCCGCACTCCGAACTTTGACGAATTCTGTATTACGGACCCGGGAATCCTGCACGCGGAAGACGTCCATTCTCATAATTGGGAGGAAGTTGAAGGGGGTACCTGTCTGGCCTCTTCACCGTAGCTGGAGCCGGAGCTAGTGGACGAGGACGACTTTGCTGGCCTGCGGGATTCGTCTCGGAAAAATGCGAGAATTGCGATATTGAGTGTGATGCGATTTGGCGCTGTTATGCTTGAGTACACGGCGCGCCGCCCCATCGTGTCTGAAGCTCATCATCTATGTCACCAGGCTTCTTCAATTCTCATCAGCGTTGCGTTGTGATGGTACTGACTCACTCTCTTCGGCACTACAACTACTATATGTTCCATGCCCAGCACCAACAAGGCTGACGTGCAAGGTGCGCGTCAAGAGCAAGCATCTATGCTAATGCATGCCGTGTTTCGTGCTCTGCTCATGCTTCCTCTGGCTCTCCAAATATCAAATCACACTCGCTTCTCATTATACAGCCTGACGCGGACGAGTCCATGACCGGTGCTGGCGAATTTCGGATTCTGTTGGGATGAGAGTGAAACTCAGTAAGAGGCTCAAACGGTTCATACGGTTGCTTTTACACTTATCTCATAGTCTAGGAACACAACATGAAATTGTCAGGCTGATGTTCCTCGACTATTTCTAATGCTTCCGGCAGCTTAGTTCCAAGCGAGAAATGGAATTTCTGAGGTACGTGTGAGTCATCGAGATGTCCTTTCTTCTCTTAATAACGATATTCCCATGTAGTATCGCCTCTTGCTGTTCCGGAATCAACTTTCGTCATCCTCCTACATATCATGGGAAGCTGTCTTTCCCTCTCTATTGATTATCGATTATCAATGAAGGACAGTCCGAGAGTTCACGCATATACTCAGCTCAACCTGTCCGCCGACATGCTGAATTCAAAGCGTGTTATGTTTCTCTGGACGATACTACGTACATTTGTTCACCCATTACACTCGTTCTTGTTCTTGCGAATCCTTGTAATGCCTCCCTGGAGATCAATACGTTGTCGGTAGGCGATCCGTTTCATTCACAGCACGAATCTGATTCACTCCACCATACTAGTCAATACATACTATCAATTACTTCGCCATAACTCGTACATTGCGCGACATTCAGCACCAAATTTATTCTGCCTAGCCACGAAGCGGCAATCCTTTCTCAGCAAACGCCGGCCCTGAAGAAAATCAAGGCGTCTATCCGCTCCCGAAACAAGCGTGCCTGGGTGTCAGAGAATACTGAATGCTGTGCCTATATGCGTTCCGTCTTCTTGATGATCATCTTCGATAGACAGTGCCCTCCTTTCCCTACATCTTAACATCAAAGATGAATCATTTTTTGCTTCACTTCCCATCGGTTCCGTCTTGCCAATGTACAGGATATAGGACCCCTCACGCGATCCTGGAAATCAGTACACTAATCTGAATTTTTCAGTAGTTCGAAGCGAAGGCCTCCACGCACTTCGTTCAGAAAACCCCTGGAGACCCGTCATTACTATCGAGGATGGGCGTTCGTCGAACATACATGAAGTATGGCTCGGGTTCGACAGGCAGAATCCTGACCAGAAGGCGTCAGGATTCCAATTGTGAGTGGTCTTTCTTTGAGTATGACTTGACTTTGAATGTCGTCAGATACGAGGAAAATGTGTGTGCCATTACAATCGAGGCGTGGTATCAGCCCGTCGTGAGGAAGAGCAAGAAGACACTGCTTGGAAGTGCTACATACTCGTTGGTCGAGCTCGATGCTGAGATACATAGTATGTGCTGGTCATACGATTACCACTCAGTCCTAATCACACACCTCTAGAATCAAAGTCGAGCTCGTCCCTCAGCATAACAACATCAGCGCTGACTCAGCTTCATCACCTATCATATTCCTCCGCCTAAATCCCGTGACCGACTCTTCCCCGACGCATACCCTCCAACTCTTACCAGTACCAGACATCGTCCACTCCCTACCACCGTCTCCAGATCCCCACCATCTCAGCCCAAACATCCTGGGACTTTCGATGACGCCGAGCAGTGGCAGTGGGAGCGGCAACAACACTCCCCGTGGAGGCTACGACGACATCTTCGAGCCCCTCCTCGTCTCACCATCCAGCTCCCTCCTCAGCCCACTGACGGTCCCCAGCCCGCTCCCCCAATACAGCGATATAGACGAGCCTCTCCCAGAGTTCAACTTCGCGGAACGCGTCGTCTTGTCTTTTACGATCTACCAGGAACTCAAATGTGCAAAGCTGGAGAAGGATTTCGAGGTTGCGTTTGGGAAGCAGCAGGAGGAGTGGACTTATGTTGCTGGTTTGGTGCGTCCATTCTTTTGCTTTATTCTGATTGCGGAATTAACACTGGTTCCGTCTTGTAGCTCCTAGCACTAGTACTCATCGCGTACGTCCCCATCCTCCATTCATTCATTCTCTCCATCCCTAACATCTCCCTTTCACAGAGTAAACACCGCCGTCTTTGCCACCACCCCCGACTCCCAATTTGCCGTGTCCTCCTCTGCCCGACTAACCATAGCAGCCTCCGCTACCGCATTTGGCTTCGGACTTATCTGCGACGTCTGGTTCATCAGCCGATATCGGTTCGGCCCTACTTCCACTCTCACGCAGAGGTCCCTTGACCTCTTCGGGACCTATTTCTTCTTTGCGTTCTCCGCAAGGATACCGATGATTTGCCTGCTGGTGTCTTCGGTATGGTTGCTGGTGTTTCTGGGTATTATGGCGTGTATGGTGAGTGTGGATGTGGTGCTTGTGGTGGGGGTGATTGTTGGGCTGGGGATGACGGTGGAGGTTTGGGTGTGGGGTGGGGTATTGGTGTGTGAGGAGGGTGAGGTGGGTGTTTGGGGGGAAGTGGGTGACGTGCGCGGGTGCAGTTTCGCGTAGTAGGGGTTATATTGCCCTTGTTCCTGTAGATAGTAATTTATAGAGATGTATCTATAAAACGGATCCTTGAATACACACATTTTTGCATTCTATGACGGGGGTTGTGGTGCGACTGCCATCGAAAGTAAGCAGGCTACAGAGAGAACCTCTCCCTTTTCTAATGCCTCATGCCCCTTTCCGCCAGATTCCACTGCCACCAAGCTAGACTACTAGGCTATTTGTTCTACAAGTCATCGACACTCGACCCTACCTGAAGAATCCATCCTGTTCCTGTGCGAAGTTTCGGGAATTTCAGGCGCAATTGCACATTAGATGAGACAAAGAGTGGGTAGTCGAGGCCGGAACTAAAAATAGATAAGCGTGGTGCCTGCCGTGTCGGCACCGACCCCTCCTTGGTTCGAACCGCGACGCACTTACGTCTGCTTGCCAGCAAAGGTAATTTTACGATGCTGAGTGTCGAGAAACATTTCCTGCAATGGTTCACCTATACATCACTATCTTAATCTCAAAATTCTTGTCCCTCTCTCTCCTTAGGCTCCCAGTGCGCAAATATCCTGAAACCGCGCTCGATGGGCTCAGATTCCTTGCAGTCGAGGGCCCCCCGTACGCATTACATTGGACGGAAAATGCCCATTCGTCTTCTCGTAATTCGAAAACTTGATCATTTCATGCGCCTTGATTTTCCACTTTTTACCATTTGGATGATAAAACATGGATTTTTGATGAGCCAGCCTAGGAAGCAGTATTAGATCGATACGTCTCGTTTCGGTCATGGCAACCGAGACTCGGACGTTGTTGAGTCAGGCGCGTTTAGGTAGGGGGCCTGATCTTCCGAACAGCAGCTGGGTTACAGTTATGGATGGCTCCGAGGTGTCGATAGACTTGAAACTTACGCGAGACTACAGGTTTAACAGCGTCTGCCATCTCTTTCTTGTTGGTGCTGAATCGGGTGTCGAGCTTCTCCCGGACGGAATTCTCAACTACCTCCTCAATTCCGTGCATTTTTCCGTGGTGGCTCTTCGATTCTAGTAGGAGAATATTAAACCTGGTCAGAAGCAATAGGGAAAACTAACTGAATACTGTGCTCTTTCTGCCGGGTTTCCTGTTGCTCTTCGTTAGGCACAAATTCTTCCCTATCCCAGAATGTCAACAAACGCCTGCATACAGAGAGTCGACGGACAATCCGAGAGGGTGACCCATCCCGTCTTCCTCGATGTCTTTGCCGTCCCCATATCCACGCTTGAAATCCTCAAGCCGTTCCTTAACAGTCACCTAGCATGCTGTCTGCTTTCATCCTCGGCATCAACACCCCTCTTGAAATATACATGTCCGAGGCGTAAGAGTGTCTCTTCCCTCACTCAAAGTACGCCTTGGAATCTTCGGTCAGTTTACGATGGGTAGGTAGGCACGTTGGACACCTGGCGTAGATAGCATGGTGTTGGTACGCCAACACTCTCGTATAACAACCGTGTACTTGATTATCTACTAAGTCGTATTAGTATATCGCCTGGGGTTGATAGCTTTGACTGCGGTTCAGCAAGCGTACTTTGCGGCAATGGATGGAGAAGATTACAGAGGAATCAGCTGATCGAGAACGGAGAGACTATGTTTTTGAAATATTGGAAAAAAAAACTGGAAAAGGAAAAGATGATCATGAATACTTGCATTTTCCATCTGTATCCATGCGTTTAAAGAACTTGTTACGCACAATGGAGGTAGGTGTTTCCATAGTTCCATTGATTTTGGGAATTGTGAGAGTTCTTCGGGAAAATTGTACGTTCATTAGTATACATGATTGGCAAGAGGAGCCATGGCCCGTAATGAGTCAAATGGAGTTGAAAGAGAAGCCATATGAAAAAACACGAAATTTCTGACAAAGTCATGGCCTATACAGTATTATCGCACTCGACGGTTGCGCGAGAAGACGAGGCAGGGGAAGTCAAAATGAACACGTGTCTGGCGCATGATAGGGGAATTTTCAGCATTGCGGCAGGTGCTTAAACCAAATATAAATATTGGAACTAGTTTTCAAGTTTATACGACGCGTCATTTAGCATCATCGTCGCGTCAACAAATGCGTACTAAGAAAAACAAAGTGGCTGTGCAATTCACGAGGTCCATCGATCCCGGGCCGGTGGCAAATACCCACAATCATTTCATTCAACGGCCACCGTGTCGTTCATTTCCCTTCCTACACGATCTGCCTTCCGTAATCACAATACTCTTCTCAAACTTGTCGTCGTAACCTGTCTTGAGTAGCAGGAGCCTGAATTATTCACGCAGCCTAGGTTGAGCCCGGGATGACGATGGTTGGGAAGGGTCACAGCTGAAATGTGAGATAGTGATTCAGAATCATTTTTCTCATTGATGACCTGACCTTGAAAGGTTCAAGGTAAGACCTGCCATTCCGCTTAGTATGCTGAGACGTAACAGTAACAGTAACATGAATCAAACAACGCAAAAGGGAAACGAACCCTGCCTCCCTAGGTGGTGGGAGCAGCAAAAACCTTCTAGAGTCTAGACGACATCTATAATTTTACCCCCAGGAATCGAACCTGGAGCATGGCTATAGATAGTTACATGCTAGGCCACGAGAGGTGGTGGTATAAACGGCGAGAGATGAGTTGGGTAGTCGGCGGGTCACTATGCTTCGAGCTGGTAGGGAGTGGATGGGCAGGTCGTCGCCAAACCCTAGGATGTGGGAACCGATTCGGATTAGTTTATCAGACATTCCGCGTGCCGAAGTCATCCGCACCTCCAAGGGGAGATCATGGCTTTGGAGTCCAGTAAGCAGGAGTTGAAGCAGAGGGTGATGTCACTGCATGCATAATTGTCTTCGGGGATGTGCGCGCCACACGGATTCAACCCTCCCTCTTGAAGTAGCCGATACAGCGGGTCAGTGAGCGCGCGCGAGAACCAGCATCCTCTTGCGCGTCAACGAGGTGGAGATCAGGTCTATAAAAGAAAATAGGGTGCTGAGTGGGCTGTACACGAACAGCTAGTAATAACGCACCGGGACTACCCGGGTCGATAATCACACGCGCTCACTTCTTCCAGTACTGACCTCCCCTCCTCCATCTCCTCTCAAAAGTCTTCCTTTGCTCCTGACAAATCCAATCCGCTTCACTCGAACGCAGACAGTAATGGGAACTCTAGCAACGCTCCGCCTCTCAATCTCCAGAATCTGATGAAAAAGAAGTCTCTCATACCCGGTAAAAACTCCATCCCTGCACCTGGACGACGCGCCTCGGCTTCAGAACATGTGCTGGAGAAGGAGAAAGGTCCTTTACCTGGATTTCCTAGGCGCGTTCAGACCTCGAATCCCAACATTGTTGCTTCGCACCCTCTGCCTCCACCTCTGTCGATGTCTCCACTCTATGCTGGCGCTGATGTCGCTCTTAAACCAACTGATCCTTCCCAGTCTCATACTCTGCAATCACCTACTGAAAAGGATGCGCATATACCCGCCTCTTTTTCTGTTCCTGATGTCTCTTTTGCATCTCCTGCAAAGCTGAATACGAAATTCCAACACATGCCTCAGCCTCAATTTGGCGGTCCTCAGCGCACGAACGAAAACAGGAATAAACATAGAAGTGAGTTCGGCGAAGACGAAGCAACATATACCTACGATGCAGATTACGGTTCTGGTCAGAATAAGAGATACAAGATGGATGGTCCAGACGTACGTCATAGCGTTCTTGATGTTGTGTCGTTCTCAGGTCTTATACTAGAAATATCCTGGTCCATTCTCCCCTGCCCCATTGTCAAGTCCGCTGCGCGGGGCCACACGGAATACCGCAACAGCCCTACAAGTTCAAATCGTGGATATCGTCAACATGCGGACAACGAATCGTTCCATGACTACGACCCCAACAACTTGTCGCAGGGCAACAACGAGGGGCCCTCGATAAACTTCTTGGACGTGATGCCAACATATTCGTCGAAGAACATATGGATAGTTACGAGGCCCTGATAGAGTTGAAGTGGAAGAATTGCACTATGGACGAATGGATTGCTGGGGCCGATGGTAAGCATTCATGTATCGCTACGCATTATGTCACCTCATTCGCCCCCAAGTTATGGTCAAGTACTCAAAGATCCTCGAATTTGTCAAGACTCATATGACGTACGCTTCCTTAGTTCCATACAATTTTTTTGTTGACCCTGTGATGCCGCAAGATGAAGCTCAAGTTATTTGCAACCTTTGATATGCAAGTTGATTCTCATGGCGTTGTTCTCGAGGAGCGCCAGAAGGTTCTAGCTGGGGTTAAGCAGAAGTTGGTGAGCGAGAGTGGGAATATTCTGGGACGAGACAAGTCGTAGTTCCTCGTGAGCTCTTGCCAATGGTGTAATTTCCTTTGCGCACCGACGCGTGCCAAACAGTATTAGCTTGCACCCTCGCTGCTGCAATTTCAGCGTTTTCTACGTAATTTCGCATCTATGCACTGTCACACGAGAAATTAAAGAATGCGGGAGGCTTATCTCCCTTCTGTCCCATGACCTGCTCTCTTGACTATGTTCGGGCAAGGTTACACAACTGATGCCCTTCGATGAGTCCTGCGGTATGCTGTCATTTGTTCATCCATGCACGTCGCCCTATTCCAACTGCCGCTATGCTGTGATCGGAAGTAGAAGAAAGTAAGGCTTTTTTCTTTCGATGGCATCTGCGTCTGATACCTGTTCGCACCGCCAACTCTTCTGCTACACGTCTTGTATACAACTTTCGAGGCCCGCATGTCATTGTTGACTGGCCTGCTACGGCGATAGAGCGCTTAGAGTGAACAATAGACCAGTTGAGTGGTATGCGATGGCAAACAATTCACTTTCACTCACACGATCGAACTGAAATGCGAGTTTGCCTGTCCTGTCTCTAAAAATGCCGCCGCCAGCTCTACGCAGAATCCAACATTTCTTCCATCACGTTTCATGTCAATCACGGTGGCCGAGGATGCCATCCAAATGTCAAAGCCGAATCTTTTATGTACGATTGTTGTCTGAGATCTTCCGATTACACGTGGTGTGGGTACGACAAAGTGGTGGTGTCATAGCTGACCGCTTGCCGCCGTGCAAGTACCTTATTCGTCACTTCCTCCAGCACACTGGACTCTGCAGTCAGTAAACGCCCTGTCCACGCACTTCGGCCAGCGCAAGTAACGGATCCTGATGATGAGCAGCGAAAAGAGGTGCGTTATCCTGGCATCTTGCAGATGTAACTTTTCATAAATGATTTCGTACCAGCATGTCAACAACAATGAAACGCAGAAACGGACGGCTCAACCTCAAGGACGAAGAAGACAGACTCGAGGCTTCCAATACAGCACTGCGAAATCTGGAGTCTCGTCGGTCCGTCCCAGCCTCTGTCATCTCGCCTTCCGTTATCAACGTCGCAAGTGCTCATCAGACATCGCTTCCTATCGGTCACCAGACCCATCATTCCTTTCGGTCGTTGGCCCATTCAGAATCAGACGATGAGGAGTTTGGAGCGGAGAGGGCGTCTATGTCGACTCCATTGTCGGAGAAGGCCCGGCGAAGCAGTACATTCGGGGCCACAAGCAGGGTGAGTCGGGACGAAATTTTCAGTATTGACTTGGAAGGCTTATCGCTGAGCATAGAGCGCCCAGGAAGAGCGGTATGACAGCAACTCCTCATTTACAAGGGGTCAACCTTGCATGGCCTCACCGGAGATGGAAGACGTCGCGACCTCGAATATCATACACACTCTCCCTAATAAACTTCTAACACTCATATTTGAGGCGGGCTTGGTCCTCACATACCCTTCGCTCGTCGAACCGAAGTCGCCTTTCGTGCCTATCACAGTGAAGAAGGTCTCGTCCTTCATGAATATGGTGATGCATGTCTGTCACCGGTGGCGGCAAGTAGCCATTCACACGCCAGCACTATGGACCACTTTGCACATCTCCAGGTCTCGAAAGGCGCTGGATAACCTCCCCAGCGTGAAAGACTTTCGCAACCCCATGCCTTGGGTTACCGAGCACCTCATGCGGTCGCAGTGCCTTCCTCTAGACATCAGCCTCGACTGTCGGCACATCTCGATAAAATCCGTATTTAACCAGCTCATACCGGAGAGTCATCGCTGGCGCAGTCTCGTGATCACTATACCCTCTGTGCAAGACCTTCCGAATGCCCTATCCAGTCTCAAAAAAATCCCTGCACCTGCCCTTGAAACGCTGGAAATTACATCTCTCAAGTACCATGACTCTATTGCGCCGAATCTCACCTCCTTCTTCCGGGGCGGACTCTCACCCAACCTGTCCCACGTACGCCTGAACCGCGTCTCGCTGTCCTGGCTCGCATTCCCGCTTAAAGGCCTCACGACCCTCGACCTTCGCTTCATCATCTGGCCGACCTTCCCTCACCTAGCGGAAATGCTCTCCGGTTCGCCGAACCTCCAGAATCTCGTTCTCCACATCGACAACACTGCCGCTAAGCTTCTTAACAGGCGCGGTCGTGCTGCGATCAGCATCCCCTCCCTTCGGTCTCTCGAGATCCGCTTATTCAGCCAGGGATTACCGACTATTTGTCCTTTCCTCCAGATATTCTCCATACCTGCGTTGGAGAGCCTCACTTTGCGAGAAGTGACCTCGTCGGATTGGTGCAGGATTGTCGTGTACTTTCGTGTCAACTGCACATCGTACCCGGTCTTGCGCCATCTCAGGCTGTCGTGCATTCGTGGGCTAATCTCCGTAGATTCGAGTGCCGTGCGAGCCTTCCCACAGTTGACACATCTGTCGCTGAACGGGATCTACTCGAGTGCGCTTTGCCGCCTTTTAGTGGATGAGAGGACAGATGATGGGTATCACGTGCCAGTATGGCCAAATATGATGAGTCTGAGTATCCGTGGAGACGTGGATTTGAATGTCAGTTTGTTAGAGAGGGCCATTATTGCAAGAAGAAGGATGGGGAGAGCGCTGACGAATGTGGATCTGGACCACAGGATGCGTAGCGATCATCGATGACTGATTACGATATAGTGTACGTGGATCCTTCATCCTTGTCTCGAGCTTCTGTTGATCCTTTTCCGACTGGTTACCACTCTGATACCTTTTTATTTAGCGGTTTCAATTGCTATTTTGCTGTTTAATCTACATTCCAAGTTTATGCATTTGATAGGTTTATGGTACTTGCAATGTTATCGTCAGGACATCGTTCCCTGCGTAATCGCTTTTATATCTCAGTCACAGAGCTTTGAGACTAGGCCTTGGTATCTCTTAGGCCTGGCTCCCATGGACTCGGTGCGGCGTTGTGGCTCTCATGGTGCTACTAGTAGAATGAAGTAACTTGATTCCTTTACTTCGAGAGAAGGAGAATGACGTTATGAACCAGGATAAGGTTAGTCATGGCCACTTATTAGACTCCTTAATTATGATGCCTAAAGTTAGAAGTCTGCTCACTACCATGGTAATGCACGCAAAGGAGCTGAAGGAATAAGAGACCTAGAAGGAATTGCAAAGTTCGAATCGCACTCTTTGTCGATGCCAATGTCCTCCCTTATAGTCATTGGAGGTGTTACATTATGTCGACAGGCAACTTACTCGAACTGAGTTATTTAGTTAGCATCACTATTCGATGCAGTGTAACCTGATGGAAGGATTTTTATCGGGTTTAAAGAATTTTATTTACACAAGTCTAATTGGTACGAGATCTCGCCATTTGAGGCCTCCTCTCACTTCTCATGCTTTTCTGCAGGCGTCGGCCGCTCCACAGCGCATAGTCTTCCCATATCGATGATGTGCGGTCTCAGCCTCCCCACGGGAGCCTCCCCTCGGGAGGCTCAGCCGTCTCACCAGTGAGTACGAGCCACAGTCCTGAGGTATCGCGAGAGCTAACAGGCTTCTAGCTCCCTTGCCATGTCTCTCTTTTTACCGGACTATATCTACCTGGTAGTCTCAGCGAGAACGCTTATCGCTCTCGTTGAACTGCCAGGTACGTTTTTTCCCTTTCTTTGTAGTGCCACGCATGTTTATTTTTGGACTGTTTCTTCTTTTCGGCCTCTACGACCCTTCTGACGTAAGTCTTTCTTGTCGCGCTGTAGCCTCATCCGACTCTTAGCTCCTCCGCTCAGTCTCTTCAAAAAGCTTTTGGACGACGCTGAACCCTGCCGGCTAAGCCAAAACTTCTAACGCATTGCAACTCCATTCTCTCATGGAATTAGCACCATGTCGTGTTCTCCACCACATGCTTACAATTGCGCTCGAAATTCCCTTCGACGATCGAACCTTCGCATAGGAACAGGATGGATTCTCCAGGAAGGGCCCAGTGGCGACGACTTCTATAATAAACAGCTGTTTGCCTAGCTTGGTAGTGGTAGAATCTGGTGCAAGGCATTAGAAAAGGGAAAGGTTCTATATCCTGCTTACTCTCCAATGCAGTCGTACTATAACATTTGTCATAGAATGTGATAAATGCGTGTATTCTGGAATACATTTGTATTAGATACATCTTGATAAATTACTAACTACAGGAAAGAGGCCAGTACGTATATGCCCTACTATGCGAAACCCTGCACCCGCACATCACCCATCTCCCCCAAACACCCTCCTCACCCTCCTCGCACACCAATACCCCACCAATACCCACACCTCCGCCGTCATCCCCAGCCCGACAATCAGCCCGACCACCAGCACAACATCCACACTCACCACACACGCCATAATCCCCAAAAACACCAACAACCACACCGAAGACACCAGCAGGCAAATCATCGGTATCCTTGCGGAGAACGCAAAGAAGAAATGGGTCCTGAATAAATCGAGGGACCTTTGAGTGAGCGTCGAGGTAGGGCCGAACCGATATCGGCTGATAAACCATATGTCGCAGACGAGTCCGAGGCCTGAGGTCGTGGCGGAGGCAGCTACGGTTAGTCGGGCGGAGGAGGGCACAGTGAATTTGGAATCGGGGGTGATGGCGAAGACGGCTGTGTTTACGCTGTGAGAGGGGAGGCGTTAGTGATGAAAAAAGAGTATTTGGGATGGAAACGTACGCGACAAGTGCTAGGAGCTACGAGACAGAACAAGTGTTAATTCCGCAATTAGTACAAAGCAAAACAAACGACCCACCAAACCAGCGAAAGTCCACTCCTCTTGTTGTTTCCCAAACGCCTGCTCGAAGTCTTTCTCGAGCCTAGCACACTTGAGTTCCCTATAGATCGTAAAAGCCGATACCACACGTTTAGTGATTTACAGGGCCCGGCCCTGAAAAGCCGGGCCCTGGGGGTGGGCTTGGTGAGGGCTCGGGCTCAGGCTTCATTATCTGAAAGCCTGAGCCTGAGGCCTGAGCCCGGGCTTCTTGGATCTAAATTATCATGGTCTCGGCGCAGATATGTGAGAGGGATAACAGGCGATCACTCCCTGATCAATGCTCGAGGATTTGCTCATGCTTCTTACCTTCTCATATCAACGCAATCAAGATGACACTAGCACTGTCGCGGTACTTCAACAACTGTACAACACATCAAGTAATATATTTCCGACTCATTTTTTCGTTCTGGATGCATGCTATATCAAGTATTCAGTTGATACATCCTCTATGTATACTAACAACCTTTTCTTTCAGAGACTTTCACCCAAACCAGCACCCAAAAAACCCTTGCTTCTTGTTGGGTACAAAGCCCAGGCCTGAGCCCGAGCCGGGCCTGAGCCTGAGCGGGCTTGGGCTCAAGGCTCGCATACCTGATATTTGGGGCTTCGGAGCAGCTTCAGGTCTTGCCATGGGCACGTCGTCATCTGCATCGTGATAAAATTGATTTTCGAGGGGGATTTCAAGTTTCCGTTGGCATCGAGGGCACACTTATCTGTCATGATGCTCAGAATGCGGTCGTAAGTCTGCGAAAAAAAAGGACTCTTTCGTGAACTCCTCTGGCTTAAAATTAAGCAGTATTTGACAGATGCACAGGCCAGCAGGGCCAAATTATTGCGCAATATGTGCGGGTAGTCAAACTCAAAGGATGAAACAGTAGTAGAATAGAGGCAGCAGAAGCAGGAAATAGAAAGTATTCTATGCTGGTAAGATTAGAGCTTGAGTAGAGCGAGTGAAAGAAGATCGGGTGGTAGCGCTGAAGAGCTTGCGGTGCCAGCACATCGTGGTACGATGTTAAGTGTATAGCAAACACGCGTACAGCATGATCTGATGATGGTTATTTTTAGATACATACACGGCCGTCGATTACCGTATGACGGCCGTGTTTATACGGTTGCTAACGGGATACGGGATGTCCATATACCGTCCGTCTCTGGGCAAGTTATTTTGTCAGACAGAATGGGTACGGTATCCGTATGACGGCACCCGTATAACCGTACTATACGGTGACGGTGCGAAGCCCTAATCATAATCGTAGGCGTAGTGTCTTCGTATCTGCCGACAATCAATGTCAAGTAATACCCAGAGAACAAAGAAAAACAACTTACAATCGAAAACCTGACGCCTTCTGGTCAGGATTCTGCCCATCCGACCCGAGCCACATCTCATGTACGATCGACGACCGGCCATCCTCGATGGTGATAACAGGCCTCCAGGAGTTTTCTGACCGAAGAGCATGGAGGCCCTCACTTCGAAGTACTGCAAAAGAGTCAGATTAGGCGGCGTGAGAGGGGCGGTAATAAGTACCTGTGATATCCCATATCATGTACATTGGGATTGAGGGGAAATGATACGAGATGTGACTTTTTGTAGGCCAAAGATGTAGGGAAGAGCGAGCACTGCCTATCGAAGATGATCATCGAGAAGACGGAACGCATGTAGGCACAGCATTCAGTATTCTCTGACACCCACGCGCGCTTGTTTCGGGAGCTGATAGACGCCTTGATCATCTTCCGGGACGAGAACGTTTACTGAGAAAGGATTGCCGCCCTCTGAGAGTAATGGTGTTGTAGGCTGGGGAGAATGAATTTGCTGCGGCACGTCGAAGATCATCCGAGTCAGAAAGAATGCTTCATGGCGACTATCAATTGGCAGGCTGGAATGAATTAGATCTGTGATATAACTGAAACGAAGTATTTACTGTGCAATCAATTAATCGCCAGGGAGGCATTACAAAGATTTACAGTAATCAGTAGAATGGACGGACGGACGTAGCATCATATCACCATCGCAAGACCCACAAGCCGTTTTGGTGTAATGCCAGGATATTGCACATGCATAAGGACATTGAGCTGGATATATGCGTGAACTCTCGGACTATCCTCCACTGATGGTGAGGGAGTAAGACGGATTCCCATGATACGTGGAGGATGATACATGTGTCAGGATTTGATGATGCCGGAACTACAAGGGAACGTCAGTATTAAGAGAACAAAGAACATCTCGATGACTCACTCGGAAATTCTATTTCCCCCGTGGAAACTAAGGATACAGAAAGCATTATCCAGCACATGAGAACCACCAGCCTGGTGATTCGTGATCCGGCATCTGAGAGGAGATGAGTATCAAAGCGACTGTTTGAGCGTATGACTGTTACCGGGTTTCTTTCTCCTTCCGAAGGAACCAGACAGTCGCCAACATCAATTAGTGACTCGTCCTCGTCAGGCAGGTAATTCCTGTATAACGAGAGGAGGATCGGAGGAGCCACGGATGGAGCACAAAAAACGGCGTGCATTAGCATAGGCGCTTGCTCCTGAGGCGCGTCAGCCTTGATGGCGCCAGGCATGTGTAGGTCCGAAGGAAGACTGAGTCAGTACCATCGCAATGCAAGGTTGATGGGAATCGAAGAAAGCCTGATGACGAGCTTCAGACCCTCGATCTGAATTCCAGCCTGGCAACACCGCTCGACCAGGTTTTTTTCCGAGACGACTTCACCGCGCCAGGCCAGCAAGGTCGCCCTCTCCGACAAGAAGACAGGAACCCCTTCAACTTCCTCCTACTATGACATTGAACGTCTTCCGCATGCCGGTCCGTAATACAGAGGGAGTGAACGAATTTACTGTCAAGTTGGGGGGTGCGGGTAAGGGAAAGAATGCTTAGCGATGCAATGATCTGGACTCTGCCACCCAAGTATACGTCCCAGATGTGCAGAAAAGACTCGACCGATAATTATAAAGCGTAAATTGGATGTATAGTGACGAAAGGACGTTCCACGGAGTCTGGACAAAGTGGAAATGGAAGTGTTGGCGTTTGGTGTATACGGAGGAAAAAGACGTCCCGTGGGGTTACATATATATCAGTTCGAGAAAGGGGGTTCATCCCTGTGAGATTGATTCCAGAGGTAACAGTCACTTGTGTACATCTGGCGGTTCCGCAAGTGTGAGAAGCTGGTGTACTTGCTTGCAAGCTTCGTTCACAGAACGCACGGTTGACGAGTATGCTAATCGCAGCAACATACCGTGTTGCCGGTACAACATCCTCCCCTATCCGCGGGAAACTCGGCTGGAGTGAAGTAGTGAGTGAGTTCGGCGAGTGGGACTATCAACGGTATTTCCCATACATTCACGCGTGTCCCACAGAATGTAGTACCAGTACCACGGAACCCTCAGGTGCTTGCAATGAGGGGAACACTTAACGTTCGAGGCAGGGCAATGATATTCTGTATTGGCGCAACAGTACTCTGAAGTACATCGCGGCGAAAGCTATCAATAGCAAACCTATATGATCCTCCATAAGCCAACCAAAGACACTCAGAAGGTAGTAATAAACGTACCTGTGATGGTGCGCCAATGACACTCCAGCTAGCGTAAACGCATCTTCTGAAGCTGGCCGCGACGTTTGATGCTGTTTTTGATTGTGAGATGATTTAAATTTTAAACCAGAGATCCGCCAGAAACTGACTCACGGAACAGTTGCAGAATGGAAATTGGACAGAGATTTCCATTTTTGAAATGGTACAACATGAAAGGTGACCATTGTTGATCGCAATGTACAATGCAATACTGGATAAATTTCAGTAGTGGAGAGACGTCTTCCTGAACGACAAGCGTACCTCGTTCCATCTAACGATGGGTGCTCCCTTTGCCGCATTCAAGCCACTCCCAAAGGCGGTACGTCTTGAAAAATGATCCACGATCCTAGATAACCTGCTCAACGGACGACCCAGCATAGTGGGAAAAAGTCATACCTTGAAGAGGCGCATAGCCATGAGAATGCCACGACGATACTCCGTCCTCGTTGTCCATCGCAACGAAACTTCAAGAGTCGGCACAGGCAATGATAATCCACCTATTATTGTTTCAGAATAGCACAGTCATGGATGCGGGGCAATCGTACTGACGCCAAAATAAAATCCTTTCACGACCTCTGGGGCATTCGAAATCCCTGTCTGTGTGTCACCTGTGGGTGAGGACTAAGCATGTAGTCTTCTGTAGACATGGTATCAATACAATCAAGAGAGACGTAAGAGTGCTTGCTTTGCCCTTCGTAAATGAGTCAAAGAATACCAAAATAACGGGAAAGAAGCGTAGCGGATATCATGTCGAGGCTGGAACAACGATATCTGCTGTGGACAGACAAGAAATTTCTGATAGGAAGATGGCCACTGTGACGGCTTCCGTAATATTTGCTACCGTCACCAAATAAGAGACTTTTCAAGTACGGACTCAACAGAAATTCACCCACCTGAGTTAGTAAGCACACTGCTACGAGCACTCTTCCTGTAGTCCTCTCTCTCCGTACAAGTAACGTACTTTTCGGCGGAACGAGGTTGATGAGCTTCAATGCGGCGTGGGGGCATGGATTGCGAACCGAATCTTCATAACGTCTGCCATGACTTGCAGTCCCGACATTTTCTGCCTTTTCGGAAGAGGTACAAGGTTTGACTATGACAAACAACACTGCAGGGATATCAGTGGAGATAAATGATCTTTTGGGGTGACCGACATACCGCTGCTTGGGCTTGTACACATCCTTCCACGAGGTCGTGCTCAAGCGACTCACATCATTGGTATGCACCTAAAGACAATTACTAAGTTGCAGGTTCAGCATAGTTGATTTGCGCGTCGTACCTTGAGCCTTCTGATGGTAGGGCATCGAGGAGCAGCACAATTCTCCGTCGCTACTTGAAACGACCGCCACTCAGCTCGGAGCTGCATTCCTTCCCACCATCCTCCATCCCAGGTTGCGCGAATAGCCAGGCCCCCGCTCAAGACAGGATACGAAGACAATGTAAAGAAGAGTATCGCAAATTAGAAAAGTAGACCGGGGATAGAGGCAGAAAATAGACGAC